ACGACCCCAGAACACGCCGCTTTCGCACCACGGATTCGTGTTATCTCGGGCGCCGCACCCAAGTCATCCCGGCCAACGTGGAAGGAGTTTCTGTTCGTGGCGACATGCGAATCACTCCCGGGTTTGGCACGAAAGGTGGAGGGTTGAATGTGGTTCTCTTTTTCACGGAGTTTTCTTCACAAAATTCCATAAGGTCAGGCAGGTCAGATGATCTTGTGATGCCCTCGTATTTCAAAACCCAAAAGCAAGTGACCTTGTGGGCCCATTGTGGTGGCCAGTCCTCGTCTCCATTCCTCAGGTGTTTGACCATCTGTTTGCTTGAATCGTTTATACCAGGTCCCAATCGGCCACGGGCTAACGGTTAGGCCTCCACAGGAGTTGGCGCCAGTGCCCGACGACCGACCCACCATGGATCTCCACCGGCCTCAGGATCTCCACCGGGCGGCTCTGATGGTCCTGCGCCGTGCTCTTCATGTCCTCAAGAGAGTGCGAGTGCCCGGTGAGTGGTGGGAGGTGGGAGGTGGAGCCGGGTGGAGCATGGTGGAGCTGTGAAAATGAGAGAGCCAAATGGTTGGGGTTCAAACATGTCTTTGCGAACTTGGCCTCATCAGGGCCCGAAAGTGCCCGATCCATCCGGATCCGAAGCAATGCACCTGCTTCAGGCCTGGCATCCCAATCCTTCGAAGGCTTCCCGCCTACGACTGAACCCTGAGTGACTCGACCCAGGTCGCTCCGTTTCGTGTCACGGCAGTGCTCGTGCTCCTTGTAGCTCGGCCGAGGTAAACGTTCGTTCAGCGGGTGGAAGGCGTGCTCCTGAGGTGACATGCCGGAGGTGTTCAGCGCGGTGCCATGGACACCCGGCAGAAAGAAGGATCCATAATCTTTGCAGAAACGGCGGTATTACGGTATACAAAATCATGGATTGGATGGCTAATCCAAAGTACGAGTACAAAGTCAAGGATGGTCAATTTCCCATGAACAAATTCAGCATGTCACAACATTGACATAGAGCTTGAAAGAAGGCACCTTGAAGGTATTCAGAGTTGCTTTGATTTCCCTGAAATCCCCACGAACATATGACCAACCAAGTGCCCCATCTGAGGGGGAAGACCTGAAAAACCATGGCCACGAGGCACCAAACTATCTGAAAATGCTTCGAAGATGGCTCATCCACAGGAAAGCTTCCAAAAATACCCAAACGCCCATGGGTATAGTAGTATTAGTATTAGTATCAGTGGAACTCTCTGGACTCCGGAGAACCCCGGGTATGGACCATCGAAAACACACCCATGGGCATCGACAGTAATTACCATGAAACTTAGGTCATCCCCAAAAGGTGGCCTAAATGGCATGTTCACATCGTATGCACCCAAATAAAGAGGCCTTGTCCTTTTCCAAAATACTCGGCGCGATGGCTGTTTTGGCCAAACGAAACCGACGAGTTGTTTCATCCCTCGATGTTTCTCAGGGATCCGGACCCATGTTTCTCGAGTCTTTTTAAAGCTACTAGTAACAAGTGCATCGCTTCTAGTAACAAGTGCCTTACTAGTAGTAACAAAAATACTTAGAATTGTAATTACTATAGCTTCTTGTTACTACCAGTAGGCACTTGTTACTACTAGCGATGCACTTGTAATTACTAGCAAAGGAATCCCTCGATGTTTCTCAGGGATCCGGACCCATGTTTCTCGATTGATCACCTGCAGACTGACGATCCGGGAGGAAGACACGGACCACACGGGACGAGGACTCGGAACGCCGATCGCCGGTCGAAGCGCACGATGACTGAAGTGCACGATGACCTGAAAAGTGACGTCTTGGAGACAAGAAGTGCACAACAAATCTATGTGACTGCAAGTATTTGAAGGTGGCGTTCTCTCTCTCTCTCTCTCTCTGCATGTCGTACATGTATGACGCCGTTTCAAGGGAAGCCGGTGTCTCACACGCGCAGGTCTCTTTCAGGTCGCACAGATCCTTTCGTACGAGTCTCTGGGTCGCAAGAAAGCAGCTAGCCAAGGCAACACCTGAATGATTATGGATGATTCATGGAATATGTTATATATAATTTAACAAACCCCGTGGCCACAAGGGTTAAAGTGGCCAGTTCAATGCTTGGGTGTTGGAAGCTAGCAGCAGGACCATGAACAAGTTGAGTGCTAGGTGAACCAATGGAGAATCATTGGCATTTCTCTTGGCCCCCCAGTGAATGAGACATCCATCCAAGGGACCATAGTTCCACCCAACTTCCAAGATGAGCATTCGATCTTGCTCCAAAATCTCCAAATGAACATTAGCAGCAGTGGCTTGCCCATTGCCCACAACATACCCTAGCGTAAACTTAAACCTCAGAATTACCATCTTCACCCTCCTCACCACCCGGTCCCAACATTCTGAAAGCCCATCCGATCAAACCTCGTTCTCCGCCTCCCGCCAATAAGCCGCCCTCTGGTGCGGGCCATGGTAGGAGGCCGTGAAATCCACGGAGCCCACCTCGCGGAGGACACAGAGCTGGAGACAGCGTACCCCCTCACCCAGGTCCATCCAGGTCCATCCAGGTCCATCCAGGTCCATCCACACCACCGACCCTGACCACCTCGACCGATCACCGAATGCACGCAACGCATGGTTCGCGTGGTTCTCTTCCGGCACATCGGCTGCGGGGGTTCGAAATATCTTTAGCTGTCCCATCGAGTCCCATGTGTATGTGTTTTTGCTTGCATGGTCAGCTTGCAAAAAGCACATCCTGGATCACACAAGCCTGCTGGACAAAGGAATCCGGGGGAACCACGAGTTCGTGCAGATTTAGTCCTAGTGTTTAAACCTGTTGAGGCAAAATCACACCATCTTGTTGACTTTGGCACATTCTCACCGTCTATGTTTGCCACACCATCCTATTATGGATCTGAAGCCCGCTGAGATCCCTGACCCTCGCCATGACAAGGTTGCTCGAAGATTCAGGACGTTGGAGCAACGGCCAGGTCTAGAGAAATACGCCGAGGCGTGTGAGGTGCAAGGGTAGGTGGGCAGGGTCGAGAGATCCTGGTCTGGTTCTAGTGACGATGCGCCGCTGGGGGATAGTTGAGGGTAGGTGGTGCAAGGTGAATAACCATTGGTCCATGAACTGGGGAAAAGATGTCAAAGGTGAAAATTGGATGTTCGCAACTGTCCTAACTAATGCTACTGGCCAGGGCCCACAGCCAAAAGAGCCACAAAATCATAAACAAACATGATGCAAAGCCCTGCATGAAGGCTGATGAAAAAATAAATCGTGCCCATAGCCATAGACACGAAAGACTTTAAAAGGACCAGCTCGATAAGATCTACTACAAGAAATAGCAAAGAATCTCACAGATTCTGATGTCACCCATATGAAACTTGTGACAGAACATTCAACGACATGCATTTTTGCATATGTTGGCCATGGTACCCTGTTCCTGCCCTCAGCAGGAATCATCCAGGGCTGCAACAAATGACTCTGCACAACAGCACTTGCGCGCAGCAAGTAAGTTAAACTTTGACATGCGTTGAAAGCGAAGATGGATGCCAGCTCACACAAGAAAGCGTGGGTTCTCCTAAATTATGATAATGTTTGAAGGCACTCAAGAATAGCTAAACAACAGGCCAAGTAACACAATTCGCAGTTCCGCACATTTCTTGCAACAACAGAGGCAGCAACACGTCCGATAAATGTGATACAGTTACGTTAGTAATACATATAAACATGATATTATTGTATACAGTACTAGTCGAAGTGCCCGCAAACCAACTGAACTGTGAAACATCGTGAAACTCACTTCGTCCACCGGGCAACCTACTGAACCGGGCTCCCACGGACGCTTCCAACACATGGCAAACTTCGCGTCAAGACAAGACCCCATGGCCAGCCGGCCGTGTATGGCGGTCGTGGTGGTCGATCTTGACAGATGCACGGTGGATTGTGTGGCCCACGCACGGCCCATCACGCCATCTTGTCAAGGGCTTTTGGGAAACCTCTCGAATATGTCGGCCTGCAGTTTGGCAGATTCACACGAACGGGAATTATATTGGTCTAAATCTAAACCATAAGGTATCATAGGATCGTCCGTGTTAATTTTGGCACCTAGTGTTGCCAGTTTTATGTTCTCCAGGAGACAGCATGGGCACCTGCATGTCTGTGAAAAAGAGACAACATGCTGATCTTCAGAATAACTGCCGAACTTCATGCATGGTGCAATTCCTTTCGCGGTACAGTACCTTCTATAAGGCCCCACAAGTACTCGTCGGATCTGCTAGACCTTCCGCATGATGTGGCTTCACCATGCCCCAACTGTCGGAGTAACATCCAGGGTGGCTGACGGTGGCTGTGGACACCCCACTTTGCATCATGGCATAACCCTCCTTAAAGGCCACCAATGAATGGCTTTAATACCTGCGCCTGTGCGTGAGGGTCTGTGCCGGTTTCAGCCACCTGATTGCTCGGCTGGATTCCTCTCAAATGCGATAGAAAGCCGTTGAACATGAACAGGAACGGACCGAATGGAATAGGATCTTTGATGAACTCTTTGATTCTTTACTACCACGTCACGCGTCTGATGCTTGGCCAAATCTAGTCTGACGCTGGCCCTTGAGTGCAGCTTCGTCCAGAATGGAAGCTGGAGCGGCTAACACGCGAGTGATTGCCTCTGTGAATATCAATTTGACTGAGCTCCCATGACGTTACGACCGGCTATCATGAGGAGGTTTGATTAATCGATACTTCTCCAAGTGATTTGCTTCTGCTGCAAGGCGAACACCATGGGGTCAAATCCTCCCTTGGGAGTCCATACAAAGGGTCCTGGTGCAAAACGTTAGATATAGTGGATTGAGAGTAGATGGCACAAACCCCAAGAGGTGGTTTGAACCGAATTCGCTGTGAAACCCGGTCTCCAGAATCGGCCCAAATTCTTCAGGTCTGCAGACAAATCAGGTTCCAGCTTCGATTACAAGCAATTGGGGTTCACAAATTGGGTTTACAATGGAATGAAGAGCACAAAAATCAGGTTCCAGCTTCGAGCTGACTATTTTGTGCTGACAATCACTCCTCTTCAGCCTCCGGCTCGCCCCGATTTTCCTCCTGCGTTGGGACGCTGTTCACATCACTTGCCCAGCATTGACCTGGGCGATGAAGAAGGAACGTGAAGTCCCCCAACAATGTCTCAATCTCTTAATATCTTGGGTATCTTTCCAGTTTCTTTGAGCCAGCCCCACAGTCGATGAATCTAGATGTAGCTAGACCAGACTGCCAACCATGGCTCTTGGTCAAGACATGTCAAAAACACATCAACTACCCAGAAAAATGCTTCTGCACCATATGTGCATGGAGAGTGCTGCTTTGACCGTCCCTGCACCATCCTGCACGTCCCGGGCGCCTGTTTTGTCCCGGTCCTGTCTCAGTTCCCGACCAGAGCCTGAACCGTGTGGTAGAGGGGCTCGTAATTGCTCCTAAGCAGAGCAAACCCCGGCCCAGGGCACCACGGCGAAAGCTGAGTGCATTCAGTTTCTTGAGTCCTTGATTGAGAAGCTCCTGCCAACATGCAGAAAATTATTGGATGACCTAGTCACAAAGTTGGTCTGAAAAGCAGAAGCAGCACTTGGATTGAAGAGCACCAGCTTCTACCCACTGTTCAGGAGGTTTGGGGGTTGGCAAGAGGCTCAAACTCGGACACTCAAAAGCGGGTTCTAATTGAACCTTGAAAAGAGGAGCCGTCGCTCTTTTGTACTTTCATGCAACCAATTACTATAGACATTCGATATCTACTATATATTTTGTAATTATCATATGTTCCTTCAATTTCGAGGTGCCCGCGTTCTCAGCGGGGCGACTTTCACCAGCCTCAATTGCGAATTTGGAACTTGCGCACCTGCTCTTGTAGGTAAAAACTAAGGTAAGGCACGGAGGAAACGGTATGCTGAAGACAGGTTTAGCGAGTTGAGAGCAAGACCTGAGTCACAATAGTTGCACTGTCTTGAATGGGTGTCTACGAGTGCTTTATTAAGTCACTTGCTGGTCTCAGCCATGGTCACGGTTGTTATTTTTCCATGCAATTGGATCTGATGCAGCCCTTACTTCATACATTAGCTACTCTATCAGATTCTTTTCTGCTAAAGGTGTAGCCAACGACCGTGTTCTCTCCAACAAGGCGGGGAACAAACAGTGTTTCACCCTTGTGCTTGTTGTGGTGCGAGCAACAAATGGGATGGAGCACGACTTACCATGACCATCCATGACCCATGCAGTTCCGAGCTCGGACCCGCAACTGTCACCTGGAACCATAAGAACACGTCCTGTCAGACCGCCAAGAACACTACTCATTCCCCTTCTGCCAAGGTTCTTGTTTCCAGAGCTGCCTTTACCTATCTGCTGGACGCTCCATTGGCCAGTCAGTTGATTCTTCGATGCGCAGCAAAGAACCACTGCCTGCGACTACAACACCACTGACGAACAGCTTGTGAATCAAGCAAAACCAGGCTACGTGTATCTTCTGTCAAATTGTGAATCAAGCGGTCATTTCCGAAATGAAACCTTGTGTCTTCTGACGCGTACGTACTGATGTTCCTATCAGTCACACTCCCAGCACCTCTTACGCTGCTCCTCGAGTAGAGCAATTCACTGGATATTCTTCAAACAGAACAGGGATGTCCATGCCTTCCAGGCGTTTTAGCTTAGGCAGGTCATCCTAGATGGATCTTCGATCTATGGACCAAACTCTTAACAGGAGAGTTGTTTGGGGATTCTTCCACCCGACCTGCGAAAATGCAGGAAACCGCTTCAACAACTCTACAAACATCAAAGACCTGTTGTGTCCGCTTTGGATTCTTGGGCCAGGAGGGTACTCCAGAGTATGAGGCAGGGAGTCTCATGCCCAAAAACTCGTGGATTGTCGAGCCCAAGGCTCGCAGCCATCGTCCCCCAGTTCACGGCACATCCCCATCGTCCGACCGCCTCTCCGCTCCGGCAGCGGTCTGCCGTGTAGCTGGCCAATGCACGGTGGGTGGCGGCATCCCGAAGGTGGACTGAAGGGTCCTGGACGGAGTGGACCAAGAATGGAATCTTTCAATGGCTCCAGGTGCCCAATGAATTTGGCTGGTAGAATGCGTTACTTTTGACATCTTTTGACTCATTGAAATGCTTTCCACACCGCAGTCAGTGTGGTTGCCCAACTTTGCCCACGGACCCACGGATGATTCAGAGGGTTTGGGGTGCTTACGCACCTTTGAGAATCGCATCACTTTCATCCATCGACGACGTCATCATAGGGAGTACATTGCACGTCCTGATGCTACTACCGAAATCAAGCGTTTCCCAGGCAGTCGGACTGCACGTGGAATGCCATCGTGCACCTGGTGAGTGACCCAGCTGGCTTCCGCAGGCTCTCAGAAGCAGGCTCGGGGACCAAGCACACGATCAATCATGCTGTACGGAAAGATCCGAAGCTGGAGTTGTGACTTTCACAAGCATCAATATCTGCTGATTTGACCCTTTGCTTCTCAATTATGTCAATTTCTTGGTACTCATCATTAAATGCCGGCCATGTCGAAGAGGGCACCACTCATGTCCACATGTTCCAAGCCACTCTGTGTCTAGGACACGGATGAACGCTCGGCACGGATGAGTCGAACGGACGCAGACCGGACACGTTCTTCTCGAGCCTTTCAGAAAAGAACGTTGCTTAGTCTGAAGTCTGAACCTTTGCAAAGGAGATTACCCCCAATACACCTGCTGTAATGGAGGAATGTACAGGAATTGCCACAGCCGTTGCCACAGCTCGGTTCGCCCTGACGTGTCTCTGGAGAAGACGACGGTGCCACGACCCGAAGTCGTCGTCTTCGTCCTGGAAGATCGCCAATGAGACTCCTCCGGGCATAAAGCCACTCAGCGTAAAGAACCTGCCGCTTGCGAGCTGGCGATGACAGCACAAACAGCGAAGACAGCGCAAGACAGCGCTGGTGCGTGTCCATGACGTTGGATGTTCGAACGTGGTTGTCCTGTTGGGCAAGGTAAATTGCTTGCCTGCACCTGCTATGACCATGCTGGAGTAGAGGGGCATCTCATATAGTCCAGAAAGACGTGGGTTCAATGCCACACATGCCAAACACGCATAATCATCACATATCATATGTACGTCATTCTACTTATTAGGTGTTCAGTGGGATCCCTTACCAGCTAGGGTGCAAGGTTCCAGGGCCTGAAAACCAATCAGTCTGACCTGGCAAAGGAAAGGTTGAAATGAAACCAGCGAAATCAAGAAACTAATGTCTAGGCCTTAAACCTGCTTGGTACCAAAAGAGAGCTGATGAACTGCAAGAAAGTGGCTTATACACAAATAGAAAAGGCCACTATATACATGACACTCTCTGGTGTATCTCGGAAGACCTGTTTCTTACTACCACATGAATATATTCAACATGATATACGAAGGGCCAAACCAAACGCAGCCCAGGATGTGCTCAAACGCAAAGGAAACAAAAGAAACAAAACAGGTTGACTGGAGCCAATTACATAAATCCATAAGCTGGTCACGGATGTGTCACGTGTCTGTCCGGGTCCAAGTGGCAGATATCGGCAGTCGGAGGGCAGGAGGCCCACGTCCACCGACAAGCTTTGCCGGGGACTGATGCGAGAAGAGGGTCCTGGGATGGACTGGTCGGGTCTCGAGCAATGGATTCGGGCAGCATGTTGGGCCGTGTTGTCTACAGGACTCGGAAGACCACATGTCACAAAACGTACAGCAAAAGCCGAGCCTGGTGTTGGGTTCCCCTGCGAAAAACTCTCCCCTACAATATGGCGTCAACAAAACATCTAGGTTCGGAGGATTTAGCACATCATCCACTATTTACCGTCAAACAAGTAAGTGTTGGTTGGAGAACCCCATAAAACATCATACAACTATCTCTGCTACCCTACAATCCGCAAATTCCAAGTGGCATGTTCTTGCAGTATGATCATTACAGTGTTTACACAAAGGACTTGAGACAAGTAATTAACTATAAGTTTGCATGTTGAAGTAGATTATTATCCTTTGCATAATTTGCATACTGTAATAATTACAAGTCCCCCTTTAATAAGTCATGAAATCTACACAAACCTATATATACAAACCTTCTTCCGCTGCACGATTTGTTGCCGCAGAATGTCACTCGTTCCCGCGCTTCCCGTGTGACACGATCCCCATCTCCTCCATGCCGAATCCCTGGATAGCTCTGTTTCTGAAAATCCACCACTGTCATCAACATGCCCCGACCTCGCAGAATGGTCTTACGTCTTACGAAGATGCTCAACAGCGGTCTTGCGGCAGCGGGCGCTCTTGTATACTGAAGATGCTCAACACTGTATCAGAAACGGAGCAACCAACAGAATGGTCATCCAATGTCCCATGTCCTATGGATAAAACATCTTCGGTGTGCCAGTGGTGTGGTCGTGTCTTTTGTGGGCGTCCAAATGTGAAGCCAGCTGTGGAGTAGAACAGCATTGAACCTTGGCATGGCTAATTTGTATGCCTGAAAGCAATACACTTAATTCACTGCTGACTATCCGCTGGATTTCTCAAGGCCACTTACATGGAATCAGCCACCGTTGGAGGCCTCTGGAGGCCTGCAGTATGCCTACTGTACATGGTGAAAGCATGTGAAAACTGTCTCGAATTCTGCTGAACATGAAATTTGTATCATCCTACTGAAATTGGCAAACCAGTCTGCCAACCCCGCAAAAGAAACAGGCAGGTCCGCGGCCTTTTTACCCTTCCATGTCCTCAAACAAGATTATGATAAATCATGATACAGATACATGATACATGTGTTTTTTGACTTGCTGTGGATTGCTTCAACGGATGTTCGGCAGAAAAGCACATCCCGCTGACAAGTGGCCATTCAGGACCAAGCATGAGCCGTTGAGATGGTGGATGGTATTCTGCGACGGAGGATGGTGGCGCAGTGGCCAGATGGAACAACACCAGGACACCACTCATGGAGAGGACTATAGTAGCAGAGTCAAGAGGAGAAGTCTTACGTACAAATGTTTGAAACAACTCAGCCCTTACACCTGAAAGTCAGTGAGACTTCGCTGATGTCATTCATCAAACAAAATTGACACGCAGAAGTGCTGCAGAAGATTGCAGGGTGAACTAAGTGTGACATCTCAGGTCCGCTCTCTCTTTCTCTCGCTCTCTCTCCCAATCAGACTGCCCCACTCTGCCACCTTTCCACTTCGTTCCCACCTTCCCATTGCGCAAGGTCACATGTTGGGCAGTCCAACGCAACTCAAACTGGAGGCTCCTGGAGACACGGCTGCGACCTTCAACGAATTCCTTTGGGTTACTTCACCTCTCTCATGCAAGGTCGCCTTTGCTGTGATCCAATGTGTTCATCATTGTTCATCAGACGCGAACCAGCAGATCAGCGGCATGTTGATTGGCTGTGGTAGACATACAGAGAATAGAGACATTCCGGTTCTATTGACCACTTGCAGCCATCAAGTAACAATATGTTACAGCCTTTTTGAACCAATAGTCAATCCGCCATGTTTATCAAGACTAGGTGGATGATTGCACCTACAAAGCTGCGGATAGAGGACGAACATCTAAACAACTCTGGCGAAACTCGCGCGAAGCTCGCCACAGAGGAGGCGCCTGTCCTCACCGTCCCAGAGGAGGCGCGGCCTGTTTGGTACATGATGACCACCAATTGCAACGCCTGGATTCTGGCGTTCGACAGCGTCCAACTCCCGGGCTTGGTCTGAGGTTGGAGGTACCAGAAACTCATCTGGCAACTTCATCCTCTCACATCTCTGTCCATAAATTCACAACTCATTCTGTGAGTGAGTGATAGATCCGAGGTGGCCAGCCATCCCCCAAGTCCAAGGGATCAAGCAAAAAGAAGAACTTTTCAAAGGCCTCTTTTTCCAGAACCTCTCAATTCAATTCTTCGAAGCTGAAGGTATCAACTAGCTTAATGAACTCACAGCAAAGTGTCGATCCAACCAACTCAGCAAACAGTCATGGTCCTGGTCATTTGTCTTCCCATGTTGGGGTAGATTCTGGCTGCAACATGTTGAAACTCCCGTCCATTGGGCACCCCTTAAGGGGAAAACCATTGGGCACCCCTTAGAAATCTTTGTCTTTGACAAGTGTCTTTGTAGCATGTGCGTTTGGACCACCGTGCGATTTGGAGATTTTCGTACAGTTTCACTTGCAGATGCCAGCAGCCTGTGTGTCATCGCGTGTTATTCCGTGTCAGGGGTGCCCATGGGGCATGGCATACGGCATACCTTAAAGCTACCGTAATGGGTGCCAAATGAACATACCTTGAGAAAACCCGATGCAAGCACCTACCGTGTCATTCCGTGTCGCCCGACATTGGGAACACCGTGGAACACCCCATTCCGTGGTTCTCCAGTTGGGCAGTTGTTCGTTCATGTTTGTTCTGATCCTGGCAGGGTCAGGGTAGATCACCAGGAGCGTCCATTGGGCACCCCCTTAAGGACATGTAAAATCAACATACCTTTTATCGGATGCATCTGGTACCAGTATGTAAGATTATGTAAGTGTGTCGCAAAACCAAGAAGGCGCAAACTTAAACCCTTTCTCACAAAAGGAAAGCACCGAAATGGGGAGTTCCAAATCCCATCCGCTCATTCTCGAGGATGTCGAGTGTTCCCATGTTTCGACCCCCGCCTCGCCAAAGGGGACGGCCAAAGTGCCCCAAAGGGGATCTTCTTCTTCCTCAAGGAGCGTCAAGGACGTGAGTTTGTCAGCTTTTTGGAGGGTCAGTTGAGGTGTGAAGTTCTCCATCAACAGATGTGCTGGACTCTCACATGGAGAGTAGTTGGGAGTAGTTTCTACATCCTCACCATTGGAGTGGTGCACCATGTGATGCACAACAGTACTTGCATGACACGGAGAGTGACACCATGTCAGCGCATCAACGCTTGTTTCTCGGTGGGATGGATTGGCGATGGATTGTCTTGTCAACAAGCTGTGCATTGTGGGATCTGGGGAGGCATCCCCACGTCACCAAACCATACATCGCCTGGTCATGGAGACCTCGAAAATCCAGCCAGTCGCACTCCCAGTCGCGATGAAACGCGAAGGTGACATCTTCACTGACTGGTGCTTAGTAGGGAATAAGGGAAGTTTCGCCCCCAATAGAGATTCTATTGGATCCAGCCACCCTCAGCCACCCTGCTTTCGACCCAAGGCGTCAGTTCAGGTGCTGTCCCAAGCGTCTGTGTTTTCGCTGATCTCACGGCCTCGGAAGAGGAGGCGCTGCTGGCCTCACAGGAGCGGAAGGCCTCACCTCAACAACGGCGGAGCTGCCAACTGGCCTCCTGGCCTCGGTTTGGGGGCGCCTCGCTTGGAGGGTCTCAAGACCCCCGGATTGATTCACCTGACTGTGATCAGACACACAATGATGGTTGCAAGGGTCTTCGCCATTCCAAGAGTGAATCCCGCAAGCCTCAAAAGGCACTTCTCAGTCCCAATGGGACACTTGCTGCGCTTGCTGCATGCTTGCATAGAAGTAGAATGAGGTGAACTCAGCAAAACAAATTACTGTAACCACTAGTTGTTATCGTTTTGAAAACATGTGCAGTACCTATTTAGAAGATGTTAGACGCATCAAAGAAATTCACAGAACCAGATCGCAGCTGGCGACTCGGTGACATCCTGAGTCCTGAAAATATCTGAAACCTAAGCACCCTGAAGGGTTCACCCACAGGGTTGGTCAATGTCGTGTGGTACTGACCTTCATCATTGACCAGAAGGACTCAGAAGAACCCATTTTTTGAGCTGCTGTAGATAGATATTCTATGGTATGTTCATACATCCTCATTTGATGTGTTGTTTTTTCAAGTTACTTTCACTGCAATCAGCAGTAATTAATGAATAGGAGCCCATGTCGGAAGGGAAGCTTGTTATCTACCGAGTGGGAGGGTTTCAATGAGCAGCTAAAAATAGGTAGTCATAGAGTGAGCATGTCTGACCCTGATCTGATTCACAAGGCCCGCGGGTCCCCGCCTGGAGGCACTCCAAGCTTCCTTTGCTTCAATCGGACAGGAGTGGAAAAAAACAATTTCTAACAGCATGGACCATGACATGTGCCTGTGTCTATTTTAAAAAATGATTTATAATGCATTCATATACATTGACATATAGAGGCCTTTCTGACATATTGCTGTTAGTCGGACAAGTAAAGAGACACTAAGTTCAACCTGAGATGGGAATTGCAGTTGACATGTTTGCCGAAACCATCGGAAAACCCCTCAACAATCTTGAAAGTGTTGGCCTGGATCTTAGTGTCAAACAACGCAGTCGGGTCGGTTCCTCCGGAACTTCCCATGTCACGAGTGACACGTGTTGGGGTGAATCGAAGTATCTGAACGTCAACATCCAAATAGATAAGTATAGTGTGACGCTGGTGAAGATGTTGCGCACTTGAACACATTAAAACATGCGGGCCCGAACGAAGCACACATCTTGGGGCAAGGAAAAAGTTCATGGGTGAAACCACAAAATTGGCAGCAACTCTTCATGGAATCATCATGCGACAAAACATGAAGCTAGTACGTACTACAGCAAACGAAACATGCGCCACCGAGACGGTGGCGCTTATTTTGATTCACTTGCGCTCGTGAGATTGTCGAGTCATTGGCGCCCTAGAAAATGCTGAAAGTCGAACAATTTCCTCTGGATTGCAGTCGAACAGTCATTCCTTGCATAAGAGGCGTCATCGATGTGGGAGATCCGGGGGGACGCCAGCGCGGCGCGCGGAGAGCCTCCGGTCCAACTCTCTGGAGAAGAGAATGCTCCACCGTCCGACACGACGACCAGCAAAAACATAAAAAAGTAGTAAAATATGATATGACCACCAAAAAAGTAGTCCAAGAAAACACCATAAATCATGTTTTGCACACCAAGACGCAAACATAACTTATCAAGTGTTGATGGATGTTGCATGAGTTTGCACATTGTATAAAAGCAATCCGGCTGACCTAATTACTCTAGTTGAATCTGCCGAGAGTCTATGATGCTTAATAAAATTGAAAACAAAACATCCCGGTTTTTTTGGCCTATCTCGGGTGGGGCAGGATTTCTGCCATCAACAGTATCATCCCCAATCTTGCTTGGGTCACCGCTTTGGCCGCTCTCAGTGCCGGCCCAAGCATCTCTTGAATCTGTTTCATCACTTCAGAGAGACGCATCTGCTTGCTCAAGGACCTCAAAAACACTCGCAAGTTCTGCTCCGGCGACGATAAATAGTGGTGGGGAGTAAAAGCGGTTGGCCAAACACCGGGTTAGCAAACGGCAAAAACCCGAAATGCAAAGGTCTAAACAGTTGAGGACACTAAAACCTGAATCCAGGTCTGACTCGGAAAAGGTGCCACTGAAACCTACGGGTTCCAAGTGGTGTGTACAGTTCAACAGGGATTTCCCACTTCGAGGCAGGGAGGCACTGGGATGCTGCACAGCATCCGCATGAAAGAGAGGCCCTAAGCTAGAATGCACCGGATACATCAGGCAACAAACACTGATGTGACACACACACACACACAACTCTTACAAATAAGACGTCTATTGCACAGGGCTGGAGAACATCTTGATTTAGGTTGATTTAGTAGTAGAAGAACGTTGTGCCTGAACTTCGCAGACTACAAAACGGCCCATGCCAGGGCACAGCTTGCACCGACGCCCGTCAAGCACTGTCACCTGAAATTGGCCGCAGGCTGCAGGCCCGTGTCAATCTCCAAAAACAAGCCAAAAGATCCGAGGGACAATATATTGCAAGTAAGCCCACATAGCCCCCTTTCTGTGGCACCTACGAATGTCATGAGGCCACTGTTTATCTGTGGTGAATGGGCTTTCACTCGAAAGACCTGAATAGTAGGCAGACTCTCACTGTACAAGTTCGATCAACTATTACTCCGTTATGATGCTACAAACTGGCTCGGCTCACACCCTAAACCCAAAACTGACTATCCTGCCATATGGATCCATATGGTGTGTGATTGCCTGCTGCGGCTTCGGGCGCCTTTGGAGGGGAGGAATCTTGACCCTCTCTCCACGCACGCGTGTGTGGCAGTGAGTCCAAACTGCTCTACTTCGGAAGATTCATGCGTTGCAGTTGCACCAAACCATCTCTCTTGAGGGAGAGAGGATCACCATTTACGCAATGCGAGGTGCAACAAGGCAACCAATCTGCAGAACAGCCCCCATTGAGACCATAGCTAGGCGGAACCGTTCGCTCCCCACCATGTACCCAAATGAAGAAGAACCCATTTATTAACTAACATAAATATATATATATATAATATTATAGTGGCCAACGATGCCAACGATACTGCTGGATCCAGAAACAGCAGATCTCGATATGCCGATGCGCCACGCCTCGATTTCTCCAGTTCTTGTCCCAACAAGGCCCATGGGGTCCAGATTCGCCTCCTCTTTGGCCTCCGCTGAGGTCGCTTTTGGTCAGGCCCACCAAAAGAAAAGGAAAGCAGAAAGCTGATTCAGCTGAGATGAGAATCACTTACCCAAAGAGGGGAAGCTGCACATGGCTGCGCAGTGGCTGCGCCGCGGCTGCGCCTTCTGTTCACGTTCTTTCAAGATGTCAAGATCTTCAAAAGCAGCACAGGCTCGGTCGCCTCACCAACTGAGCGACAGTTTGTTTCGCCTCCATAAGGCTCCTTCAAATGGTCCATACAAAGCTGTTCTGCTAGCATGATCAGAGCCAGAAACTGTCTGCCGATTTGCAGTGACTCAACCAACTTGAGCTAAAGCATGCTTCGCGAAGAACACCTGGGCTTCTCCAACATACCTTGGGGGGGTTCCTACCCACAACTTGGCGGTTTTTCAACGCAGTTTCCTGCCAGGAATTCGTGGAAGTCCCGCCGGTCCAGACTCATAGGGCCCTATAAGCCTATCATGTGGCCAGGGAGTGTCTTGAATCAAAGCTACGTGTTGATGGCACCAAAATCATCACCTGGCATATCCCGGCTTGTGGCATGTATATGTTTTCATCGCATGGTCTGGGCTTGGAATCCATTGTCATCCAAAAATCAATGGAGTGCAGTTCCAGCCGCTCTGCAGCAACCAAGCCACAGTGTCTGATGGCTGCTTGGAGCTTCTGACAATCCGCTGTGGCCAACGGTTCCCAGCACTGTGGACAATGAGAGAGGCCTTGCCGGGTCACACATCAATCGTCGTTTCTCTGAATCGTCAGCCAACGCCCGACTATGCTATGCTAATCTGCGGTCAGAAAGATGTCTAAGTATGTGAGAGTAAGCATCCAAGAAAGCGATTAGGAAGTATGCTCACCAAATCCTGGACACCTTGACGTATCAGGGTTGCCTGAATCGGGACACAATCACATTCTCAGAGCTGTCATCAAATTCCGCCCCTGAAAGATTTTCGGAGCATGTATGATGACGTCTAAACTCTGAACACGCAAAAGATCGCAAAAGTGCTCTCTGACCGATGTATTTATTCTCGGACATCCATCCAAGGTGCTCTCTAAGTTGCTTTGCAACTTCCTCAAACAGCTCAAACAAATGGTCGGCGGATGTTCGCCTCAGACATCGTGAATCCGGTGATGCCGTGGACCAGTTCAAACGTACTCCGCTCATTCTCCGGAGAGAAATCCCACGACATCGGCTATCTACAATCTACAATTCAATTTGACAAATAAGAGTTATTCCTGGTGCCTCACAGCACATGTAGGATCTCTCGATGAACAATATATTATGTGCACATGCAATTATTCTTTTGCGTCAATTGCCGGTCAAAAGCATATTGACTGCTAAGCATGATATGCGATGACAATGACGGCTACAAAGGGATGACGGGACACTGAGCAATGTGGCAGTTCTTTAGCTTTATGATCTGACCGAACACGGTTCGAATAAGTCTTATAGAACTCAGCCGGAAGGAAGTTCCACTGCCCAACTGCTTGAATATGTCTTCTCGACATGATCACACATGTCCTCACAAAGCCGTGACAGTTCCTTGGTCAAGCCAAACACCAGCAAGTGTAATACATAGCTTAGCATCCTGCCGTACCAGTAGCTGTCGTCTAAATATGTCTATATTATATATATATAAGTTCGTGGACATTTCGGGGCCCGAGAAGCAAATGTGTCTGACGCAATATGGTTATAATATGATTGTTAATTTATTGATCCAACTTTATATGGGTTTTGTAACTCATCTTCTTCACAAATTCATCGCTGTAGCATGGCTGATAGCTGTCACTGGTGCGTCGATTTCCGGTGGCGTTGCTTGCCTGCATCTTGAACATAATCGACCGTGTCGTTATATATATATATATACTTTCCATTTATCAAACGGACAAAAAACCATTGCTTTATAGATGCTGATGAATGGGTGTAAATGCTCTGGTAATGCTGACTTCAGTGAATGCTTTGGGGATCTTTTCAAATTTGTTTCTTACGTTCCTTGTCATTCTGCCCAAGGTAGTAGTATAGATGCTGATATTATATATTATCTTTGATTACAACCACTTTCTGATAAGAAATTATAGGGAGTGGCTTGGACGGCAATCACACGAGCTAGGGATTTAAGTAGAGTTAAGTGTTTGTTTAATACAGTGATGATACTGAAGATGAATTGAATAAACAATGTATTTAAATTAGAAGCAACTTTAATAGGAATGTTGAACAATACAAAATACAGGATAGAAATATTAAAAGAGAAATACCTAAGGCATAATATATTAATGCTGAATGTTTTATGGATAATATAACCACTGAATGTACAGTAATTAATGTGGATGTGGATTGAAATTAGATATTAAAAAGGGTAGTATATCAACAAATCTGACAGCTCAATGAAAAAATAATGAAATTCATTGGTCACTGTCATAGATGTAATAGTAGTTGTAAACGAATATTTACAAAAAACAAGGGTATTGTATAAAAAGTATTTACAGAAATTGTGGGTATATATATATACTGCGTAATGAACACTATTAAACGTTCTAAACAGAATTGCAAAGGATGAGGTAATGGATACTACTGAGCAGTATTGCAAAGCATGTCGGAATAATAGAACATTAGATAGATTTGCTGAAGGATTTACATTGTAGAGCCACACAATCAAGAACATATTTATTGCAACAATACAGAACACCACCAACAGAAAAGGAAAGAATGGAAGAAAACCACCCTGGAAGAGTAAGGAAGCAAATGAAAGAGCAAAGGCAAAGGCATCAGGAAAAAAAACACCCATTATGTGAATATGATGTCCAGTGGTGTTAAAAACACAACACAAAAAGGGAAACTTTCACCAAGAGAATAGAATGTCAGAAAACAAACTCATCCAGAAGAGTTTGAACATGAAGATGAACCAAACTGTAAATACGTTGACAAAGAGGGATGCATATGTTATAGCTGTATTGCGTGTAAATGTCCTCAAATTTGGCCTTATCAATGAAGACCACACATAAGGACTGAAGCACATAAACACAACAAAGCAGATACATTACATTTGTAGGTTTATATAAGGTTCAGGTGCTTATGCAAAATGCTACCTTCACAATATGCCGTGCAAGCCCAAAAAGGTGGGTCCTGTGGGGGGTAGCATATATATATATATGTGTCATGTCTATATATATATATAAATGACAAAACAATATTGAAAACTTGCTCAGCAGCAAACTTGGGTGAGCCACACAGTCGACACATTTCAACACCCTTTCGCCGCTGATCTGCCGAAGAACAGGTCTCAGACAGCGTGGTGCCTGGAAATTCGGTGGAGCAGCGCTTCACGTGGCAGGAGCTGCACTGCATGGCGAATGTGACGGGATGGCTCCACTACTGCAAACTCCAATCTGGCATGAGCCTGACAATCTCTGCTTCCCAGCTTGGCCAAGCTTTCGGGGGCCGATACAAAGCCATGGCTGCATGGCTGGCTTAGACGGTACTGCCGAAAGGCTACCCCATGTTAGGAGTGAGATCGTTGTACATCACAAAGTGCCAGAGGTGGAGGGCTTTCTTCAAATGCCTCTCCACGCTAGTATCATATAATATATTATTTCATATGATACGTCCAACATATATTTTGTTTCTAATGATATGGACGTCCTCCGTCGATTTTTACATAAAGCCAAGACACAAGACACCACGTCGAGACCAAGCGTTCGGCAAGCTTTTCACCGCAGTGTCTAAGAGTTCGCCACGTTTTTAACAAATCCACACTACACGAGTGTGATCTGCATCTAAGGATTCTAGATTATAGGCTGGCTCCTCTGGGCGCTGTTAGGGCGACGAACTTGGCGGTGCAAGGGCTTCTTACATCGACCGTAGGATTTGGGTAGTCCTCTATTGTTACGTTAGGACATCCTGAACCAATCTGATGTCTTAGGGCATCAAACGCGAGCATATAGGGATAGGCTCGCTGAGCTCAAGTCGGAATTCCATCGTTGGCCTTGTAAGAGCATCATGCATCGAAAACCAAAGGTGCCAGCGGCCACGATTGGGCTTGGAAGAGCTGCTGTCAGAAACGGGTTCTAATTAAAAAAGCCTTGGCAGGGATCTCAACCCTCAAAACTGTAGTATAATGATGTATAATGTTATCCAGCAATGTTGAGATCTGCATGCAAAACCTAAAGCGTGGCTCTTGGAACAACACAAATAGACAACCATGTGGCACAAATAAGAACAGCAACACAACCTACTGCAGCATCTATGGTTGACGAACCACATAACCAACCACTGCTTCTCTATGAAGCTCTCTTCTTCAGAGCAGAATGGTCCGGGTTGGCCAAATTCAGACTTTCAGACCAACCTTCACTCCGTGGGACATCTGTTGGAAGCAAAGGTTAGCGCAGCCTGTACATGAGCTAGCTGCAAATCCCCAAAGATCTCCTTCACGTCCATCTGATAGGGCTGCATAAGCCTCCCCGCGGTACAGCGTGAACTTACAACTAGGGCCCTAAACCGCACGGCTGAATGTATCAGATGGAGAAACAACAGATTCAGCCGAATGTGTCAGCCAGAGTCATTGACCGGTCACAGGAACTAACTGAATCAGAACTTGAACTGTTGCAGCCTAGGACTGCGTAGTGGGAAGCTCGTCCAACAAGTCCATTCATTCAACCAATACGGAGGGTTTGTGACACTGAACTCTGAGGGGAACAACTGTGCCAGAATGCCAATCCAGACCTGCCAACCACCCAAGAACCAAAGAAGACGGGCAGCCTCGACGCCCTTTCCGCATAGTCTGCGATGAACTCCGAGGGCTGTAGACGTCCATGGGTGAGCCAACGGATGTAAATCCTCAACAAGATCCTTGGATATGCTCAAAAGTGGGAAGAGGCCCTCAAACCAAAAACAACACCATACAGTATCCCAAGTTCACACCCGCTATTGGGGGAAGCGGACACGCCCTTTTCCGGGGTTTCGGGGTCAAGAAGCCTGGAAGAAGTCTTCCGCTTCCCAAAACACCTCAGTTCAGTTCCAAGGCTCTCTTGGATCTCACGGGCTCGTGATCCCATCCAGTTCTGGAGGCATGGGAGGCCTTCAGGCAAGGGCACGCAATATCGCTTCGGCAAGGACCCTGCTTCCTGGCGCGTACGGTGAATCAATGTACGTGGTGGTGGTGGTGAATCCAAGCGAATCCTGGTGCGGTGAAAACTTGCAGGAGTCGTTACAATCAAGTCTTCATGCATCTTCGAACATCTTCTAACCATGGCTCATGCAAAGTTGACTTGGAGCAAAATTAGACATCCACATGATTCAGCCATCGTGCAGCGTGGACTCTGATTTCTCCAAGGTTGGAATAATCCAACCGGTGAGAGGTCCTTCAAAGTAATGACATACGTTGCGGCAGGAATCCGAAACATTTCCGCCGGATTCAGTCGTTTCCTTGACACAAAAGAACATCCAAAAGAGAACTGTTTTTGGAGACGCTAATATCTTTCAAAATCTTTTCTACACAAAAACAACAAACCATCTAAAGTATTTGCCCTTTCCGATCAGACTTCATCTTGGGTGCACTACCCCCTGCCGTGCGCCTGTGCCAGGTCCTTTGCTGCTTGAACTTCGACCAATTCGAACAAGTGGACGAGGTGCTGAACATTCAAGCCGCGGCAGGTCGCTTCCTATCGGGTGTTTGAGGTTGATCAATATGGCTGCAAAAATACGCAAAGCCATCTCGCACTTGGGACCAACAACCATCATGCTGAACATATCGCTCCAATTCCTGCAAACATCACCTCTTCAGCCAATCCGTCCGAACCCAACATTCATCAACATCCCAAATCCCGAATCACCTGCGCCCCCACCTTCCGTGCCAGGAGTTCTTGCAAATGCGACCCGTGGAACCAGTTCTTGCAGAAGTCGTCCAACGACAAGCCGGGCTCCGGTGTGAGTCGTCGGACGGCCGCGATGGTCGCCTGAGAGGGAGAGAGAAGGCGGGGCCACCTGCGCCATGACGCCAACCAGACGATAGAGTCGAGTGTCACAAAACCGTCGAACAAAAACAAGAAAGGCACGTCCCAAGTGCCACAGCGAAAAGGATGCTTTCGATCATATGATATTATTTATATATATATATATACTCATCACTATACTCTCTTTTAATTCCTTGAGGGAATCCACAGTGACCTTAATTAGTTGAGATCACATCTGTCTTCGAGGCCCTACTGTAAAGATGTGCAAAGCTATTCTGATGCCCTTCAAAGCTGAAGAGATTCTGCTCACATGTTGCATCATGTTGCTAACTTGAGAGAGGAGGGGGTGAACGAAAGGTAGCAGGCAATCACAAGTAACCCTGGTAGAAGTTCTGCTCACATGATGCATCATGTTGCTAATAATCCCTTGGCAACCCCATCAGCCACGACGAGTCGAGCGCCCCGGCAACAAATCGCCGTTGCACTCGCCTGGAGGGAGGCCATTAAGCCTGCGGCCTTCACGGTGGACATGAGGCAGGCACGTGGCTCGTCCGGGCTCAGCTCCTGTGGGACCCGTTCATGAAGTTCCTCCAAGAAGCGATAGTCATTCAGGAAGGCTTCCCCTGACGGGCAGAAGGTACGGGTGAAGCAAACAGCAACACATGGAAAGGGGAGAACAAATGTCATGAAGGTGAAGAACATCAATAGGATCATGTGCAGTTTCCACTCTTCCAGTCTTGATTCAAGCAACTGCTTACTTATGGGATCTATAAAAGCATGAAGTGGTGAGCTGGTGGCTGACGCGCAATCTGCAACCAACTTGCGCAAAAGCTGTGGTCTTCCATGGTGCGGGTGAGTTTGCGGCGAACACCACAGCAGTGGAGGCTCGTGGAATATGAACATCTTCATCGATCTTTTGCCAAGCTCATGGCGTGCAGAGAAGCAAACTTGAAAATCGACCCGTGCTGTCCACGCTATCAATACATGCGAATCTACGATGGGTGTACTCGTCCAGACTGCACACAAGCCTTGTTATTCTGCACAGTTTTTGGTTTTCACCCGGCCTTTGAACGGAAAGTTAAAGTTCTCCACTCGAAAGTCGATTTGCACAGCCTTTTGCAGAAGTCTCTCGGCCACTTCCTGATACAGGATGTGTTTCAAAGGAATCATCACCAGGATCACTAGCTTGGAGCATTGATTTCCCAAGCTCGCAACCGGAGGTGTCAAAAATAGAAATCGACAGACATGTGGAGCATCAACCCTCTCCTGCTCCAAGAGGTTCCAGTCAAAGACGCATCTTGCTCCTCCGAATCGGCGGTTCCATCAACTTGATTTCTGTTGACACTCGGCCGATGGCAGGTCCATGTTTGGGAGAACATCCGTGGAACATCTACGAATCTACCGGTAAATGGCAGAACCACTCCTGGGTCACATGAAGAAGATTCCCCTGATCCTGTTCTGTTGGTCATTTTGCTTCAACTCCATCAACATTCATATGGCAGCCATGAATTCTATGCAACCAGGTATGAAACCAATCCATTACTCCTCAAAGCCAATGGCGGGTTCACCGCCAATCCCGATGTTTAATGCCAAGTTTGTCTGTGTGTGGCCGGGAGCATTTGAAAGCTGCCCCATTGAGGAGATTTGTCCTGTTGAAGGACTTATTAACTTATCCAGCCACCAATCTCACCTCAGAAGTGCACAAGGAGAGCCACACCTAAACACACAATTAATCTTCACCCAATTTCACCCGCAATCCAATATTTACAAAACTATCATTATACAAAACAGGGGACTACCAGAGTGCAGTTTTCTTGGCTTCTGCATCTTTACAGTCCGGTCAGTGAAGAATTCACTTCGAGCAACACATGAAGTCAAGAAAACTGCACTCTCACAGTCCCCCGCACTCCAAAACGGGCATACAAAAGTAATATGACAGTACCTTTATAATCTTTATAGTAACTATTATACAATTATTCATAAAACATCATAAAACGAAACCGTAGCATACGGTAGCTGCTCAAAGTACTCAAGCCTCCCAGTACCTCACTCCAGCCTGTAGCCTTCAAATATCTTTCAATCCAAAGAAGTGGCCTTAGTCCAAGGACCCATCCTTCCACTTGAGGATGTTTATTGCACCCTTATGTTTGTACTTGATTGGTACGGTACGACAATCATCCAGGTACGCCACCCACGCCTGGCACCAGCAACTCCGATGCATCTGCTTGCATCTCTTCTTCCCAACCACACAAGGCGCCGGAAGCACCGAAGCCAGTCATCCACGCAAAGTGGTCCTCCTGGCGGCTGTCTCAGCTGGTGACAGGATGTCTGAATGAAAAACTGCAAGAATCAGCAAGACGATGCAAAACACCCACACCCGCAGCACATCAATATTGGTCATCGCAAGTTCAAGACACTCAACACCTTCAGATCAAACACCCTGCAGTAGCGGACTCAGTTGGCATCCCTCGGTTCTACTCGACAGCGAAACGCTCAACCAGTCGCGGCCATCACAGCTGAAAACCCGTCCTCTGTGCTGTGAACCAAAAGGTGTGTCTCGTTCACCTCCTCAATCCCCACAATGGGCAAGCAGACGTGGCCTGGAGACGTGGCACTGCAATCTGAGTCGAGACGACCCACACGTGGCAGTCGTCGTTGGTCTTTGGAAAGTCTCCAAGTTACTCTGCCGTTGGTCTTGAAGATCAACCGAAAACCATGTAGGACCGCTATAGGGATGGCGGCGGGGAAGCATCCTGCAAAAGAAACTGCTGGAGGAAAATCTATTATGTGATAATCATATATGGATCGATCCATACCATGGATATTCCAAGTCCTGAGAACTGAACCTGACTCCCATCTCACTGTAAACCAACAGCTTGGCCCGAGATCGCCCTGATTTCCTGAAACACAGGGGTCCCTCCCCGACCTTCCCAGGTCGCCCGACCGCGGCCCCCGACAGCCTGGATGAAACCAATACTCCAGCACGCTGCGCACCGCCGCTGCAGCACCCAAAGCGTCGCGAGAGGCCATGGCCAGGACCTGTCGACTGTATCGAGAGAGACGGTCCTTGACCTCTGGACACATCGCCAGGTCTGCACACCACCCCGAAGTACGGCACAATCAGAGGTGTAAATGGAAAAACTCATGTCCTCTACTGCATGCAACCAGGTGCAATCGTCAGCTAAATCGATCTGCCGTTCGACGCCAACATTGCATTCGTAGCATGGGTGGAACCCACCGAAATCTGGTTATTGCCATACCTAGAACATCCTATAACAGACATAGAATACTGAAACTGAAACTGAAACTAATACTGCATACTCCCCTTTCCCCTTCGAAAGCACAATGCCAACACCACAGGGGCAGTCCTTTTCTAAAGTTCCTGTCCTTTTCTCCTCAGCCGTTCAAAGCCAAAAAAACTCGCGTTCCACCCGTTCTCCCCTTTTGAGAATGCTCGGCTTCGACTCCGAGATCCAGGGCGGGGTCGGGCCTCCTTGAGGAAACTGTTTTGCCGATCCACGAGGCTTTGAACCAAGGCCAATACAAAGGATCCTGCGTCGGTGGTCTCATCTGGGCAGCACAAACCTGAGCGCGAGAGGATTTTCATGCTATGCTCAGGTGAACGCAAACGACAACCCGAGGTGCTGGGCTCGTGCGGACTGCCAACGTGTCAAACAAAGAAAATGACAATCCCAATTAAAAGATATTAAAAGTCGGTTTGAGATTGAGGGACGCCCACGAACCCGAATGCGCACACGCACGCAAACACACACAGCCAAACGTTGTTTGACACCCTTGCTTGACGCTCTTCAAAAGACGCTCTTGCACAACGTACCTTTGTGCGACACTCTTGCTTGACACTCTTGAAGACACTCTTCAACAAGGGCACTCTTGTGCCACACACACAATGTGGGACTGTGGGACACTCTTGCTGGACACTCGCTGTGCGCCATTCTTGTTGCGACCTCTCCCACTCGGCTCGCCGATCTTGCCCAAAGCTTTGACCAAAGCTTTGCCAGCAAGGCTTCGTTCGGTCAACTATGCTGGCATTTTGATTAAAAATGCAGTTAAAGTTAAAGCATATTATAGCAACATGCATCTATTGGAACACGTTTTGTCTGCCTCTTTTTCCGTACTCTGCCTCCTGTTGCACGTACTGTGAGGCAAATGTTTTATCCTTCAGAATGCTGTGTGGTTGGGCTGCTTGTTCGCAGGCATTGGATGTGTAAACATGTTCTTCGCTTTTCGCCTACTCAAGGCAGCTCCCTTGCTTGATGTTAACCTCCTCTTTGCTCGTGCGGGACACTCTTGTGGAACACTACTCTCTTGCGGGGCATTCTTGTGAGAAACACTGTGGCACACTCTTGTAGGACATATTTGTAGGACACTCTGGAAGGAGACACTCTGGAAGGAGACTCTTCTAGTTCAATCTTGTAGGCTTTAGAGAACACTCTTGTGGGACATCTGAATGGGTGAGGTCGCTGCAATCCAGGACACTTACAGGAGATTCCAAGGTCATCTCGGGTGCCTCGGGTAGCTGTTTGCACCCATAGCGGATCATGCACCCCGCCTCAGATCGGGTGGAATCGACGGTTCGTTCTTCAACTTTGGATTCATCATGTTGACTTCACTGTGAGGTCACCCTGACACACTCAAAATCATAGAGGCAAATAAGGAGTGCATGTCGGACCTACATAGTCGAACAGAACAGACTTGACTGAATAGGCACCTCCAACGAGTTCAAAAAATGTTGGGAGGCATAAGTTGAGTGCTTCTTGGAGGCAAGGTCAATGAACAACCAAGAAGCACTTAAGAAGGAGAGAACCCAGAAGCACAACCCAGGCTCTCTTCTGGGCACGGTCAAATGAACAACCAAATCTCCATATCATGAATATGACATATGCGAGACTGGTCAAGAATTGAGTCTCTTAGCTTGGGGTCTGCCGAAACGTGCCGAAACGTCAGTTGATGGACCCACCAACGAAACCTGGCAGCTTGATTTTGAGGTGTCCGGTCCTTTGTGTTCGACATGAATTTGTGCCGATTCCTGTATATTATATATATCGAGTATGATCGAGTCAATCTCTGGTGACTGCAGTCTCCATGGGCTTGTATGTGTCAGCAAATAAACGGATTCTCGGACAGCATTCACCTTAGCAATCCACTGCCAAATAACATTTGGTAATGGTAACCCAACATGGTGCAATGTGACGTAGCCTTTCCTGTGAATGCTGGAGCGACAAAGGCACCGAACCCAGCAGCTGGAAGTCATGTGATTGTCTCAACTGAGGTTGAAAAAAGCGCCACAAGCAAGGGAATTCTCAAATACTTTCAATTACAAAAGGCAGGTGTTCACTGCTCATTCTTTGGAAGGCTCCTTCGGCTCCTTCAAGAAAACAAGTGTTTCGAGATGTTTCGAGCCCTGCAACCAAGGCACCTGTTTGCATGCAGTCCATGCACTTTGGAACCGCTCAAATCGCTTTCGATTCCGCGCGAAGGTGGCCGCCTCTGACTGATGACTGGCGCCAGCCTCGCCGCTCTCAGCGCTGTGGCTTGCGTCCCTTAAGCTGCAAAGCACATCGCGCAGCTTCCAGGTATTGGCGTCCGCGCGGCTGACTTCAAACCTGGACTCTGGACTGGTCTCCCGCAAACGGTCGGGTTAATGCACACAGGGTGGCAATTTGCTGAGGTGTGCAGCTACAAAAGCGAAGGCCAAATGTGGGAGACAAGTTCACTAGGCACTCTAGCCTCAAAACAAACGATGCAACATGTTAACATGTTCATCTATCTTCATCTTCAGAAATTGCACGACCAAGGTGAGCTGCCAAGGCACTCTAAGTGTCGTTTGAGAAATCTTTGGAATTCCAAGATCGGCGCCAAATGAGCTGCCTTGGAGCAGGTCCAAGCAACCTCTCGATGTGATCCTAAAAATCACATATTGAAGTCCAGGTGACCCAAAGTTCTGAATTCAAGTTCATTGCATACATGCATTTCATTTCAGTAAAGTATGATGTGAGTGTTGCACCAAAGTATTTAAACACAAACAGCACATCAAGCCCACAGAGGCGCCCACACTCAGCCCACGCGCCCATCATTTTCCACCGAAGGTCCAAGTGGAGTGCCTCGCTGCTCTTCAGGGCGCAATCCAGAAGTGGATACTTGACAGCAAGCTCGGCTGAAAGCTGGAACTCCCTCTCCAACCTGCGGGTTGATGGCAACAAGTGTCCAGGATGCTGTGTCAACATGAACCCTAACTTGACTTGTGACAAACAATTCAATAGCGGCCAAAGTTTCTTGAGGATCTAACGACACGCCAATGTTGTTCTTGATGATCAGGTGATGATACGAAACAAACAACCCTCACGCCCTCTTCACAACAATTCATGATAAGTACTATATTATATATACTATACTAATACGTCATAATAAGTCTTCATTTCGCTTGCATCAACCTGTCAACCGAACTCCACGTTTCGCACAGTTCACGCCTGTTCATGGTGGGCTTCTCAACCAAGCGCAGCATCCGCCCAAGGCCAAGCTTCAACTCCTCATCTCTGCAACCAGCAGCGCCTTCTGCAGGTGCGGCCCGTGTGGCGGCTGGAACCGCCGGCGTTGCTGCTGCGGATGCGGCGCGCGCGGCATGGCAGCGGCGCTTGGCTTCAGGCGTCACGAAGCAGCAAAGCACAGCGGGCTTCCCTGGCGGATGGATGTTGATGTGAGATGAAGTCTGAGGCAAAACTCTTGGCTGTGGCTCTGATTGAAGTAGCTCAGATTGGAGATGGTTCAAGTAGACATTCTGCTCACTAATACTTGATAGTGCATGGATAATACTAAAATATACAAAAGGCTGTCTATCCCTTTCTTTACCCCATATTCTATTGCAGGGCAACTGGCACTGCTGGTAGAGCAGCTCTAGTGCACGACTGCAAAAAGGTAGGTGTGGCCGTGATTGTTGCAGGCAAATCACAATGCGCCTAATCTCCCCCTTTGACATAAGGTCAGTTCGCCCTGCCGGCAGTTCCACATGCTATGTGGGCAAAAGCAGAGTAGGGATGAAGTGTTAGTCACTGTTAGTCAGTCGCAAATCTGTACCCTGTAAGGTTGCGCCCATGAAAGGGGTTCTCATGCCTTTTTATCAATACTACATGAACCAAGCGAAGCACCCAGCGTCTGACAAGTCAAACACACTGACTTTGACAGTGATGGAACCATCATCACGCCAGTCTTACCAGTAGTTCCAATCATTTGCTCGTCTGAAGACTCATTGTTAATTTACTCTCCAACCCTGCATCGAAAAAAAAAGAAATACCATGAGGCCCCAAACCATCGTCGGAAACCACTTCGCCTCCGAAACTGCGCAGAAAACGAACCCCACCTGCGTAGATTTGCCATGGTTGACGCCGCTCAAAGTCGCGATCATCGCCCCAGACCGGCGTGTAATATGGAAAACGGCTGCGCGGAAATGATTCCGTCTTGCTCAGCACAAAGCCGTTGCGTTGAGCCAGTGCCGCGACGCTCCAGTCCTGCGGCAAAGTTGTGGATTAGCCCACAGGAAGAGACACAACAGCAAGTTTCAACCTACAATTTTAAAATTAGCAACTTCGTGGAATCGACAGATTCGACTCCATCCTGAGTTGGAGTTGGAGGCTGAAAATCCGTATCAAAGTTTCAATATGTCTGACCGAGTCGACATAGTGAGGTGTCGGGGGGAATGTATTGAAGCTCAGAACTCGTGCCGCGATTGGAACACGCAAGAATGGTGGGTAGCATCTTGAAAGAGATTTGATTGGTCTCGTCTACAGTGTACAGGCAACATGGCAGAATTCCAGCCATCTGGAAGAATGGATTGTAGAGTCAAATAACAAATAGTCTTTCTCTAGGCATCTGTTTCCCTTCTGTAACTGAAAAAGTAGGGTACCGAATGTAGCTGTTCGTTATGGAATCCACACAAAAAACTCACAAAAGCATCTGCAGCTGCACCACTATCCCTATAGTCAGTATCTTCTCTGAGAAACTGTTCATCTGAGCTGGTCCTGGATTTGACTCCACAGCAATGTCATCCAAACGCAGCCATTGCTGGTCAATACTGAGCGAGCAGAAGCAAGAACGCCTTCAAGTAGCGCCTGAGTCTACTGGGTCTACTGTGCAGTTTGATTGAATGGACCGTTTGTGTGGTGTCAGCGGGTGTATGATCTTGGGACGGAAGACAGTCAATTCATAATTGCTGTAATTATATTGACTTTTACTATAGTGAGCGGTCATCATTGATGTGTCGCAGTCCTGCAACATGATATGACTGGACTTTCCAATGAGAATGGCATACGGCACAAGCCAACCTTGAATCGAAGCAGTATTATTCCAGTCAAATACCATATGAATACCCTGCCTCGATCCACATCCAGATTCTTTCAACGCCACAGTTTTCTCATGACTTTCCCCTGAAGGTCTTCAACCAGCCGTTGGCAACAGCGTGATGCCTTACTAATCTGTCATCGGCTTAGACAACTTGAAGAAACCGATGAAGGCAGCCGAGTCGCACGATGAAGGCCATTGCCATGCTTCATCTTATTCACATTCTGCAAGAAAGTCCCTCCATAGGGGAAGTTGAAAATAATGGCATCAAACCTTTCGCCTTGGATTCGAACGAACCATGCGCCAAGCACCAACGTGCACAGAACATCAGTTGTCTGATGTGCTTTAAGTCCGACCATCTACAGAAGTCCACACCATTTGGAGAACATTGAGAGGCAAACACATCCATGAAAACCCTGCTGGTTCGCGCAAGCCCTCGTCTTTGGGGTTTCATGATGTTTCAGGTATATAGTTCATTTAGGAAAGCTGAAAATATGTGAAAATGCTTGGTACTGTTCTGGTGGTTAATAGACCTCCATGCCATAAACTTCCCTTCCTTGAAGTTTAGGACAGAATGTGAGAACCTTGGCAGCATTGCCGGACTCCGTCTGATGATTGATCCGATCGAAACCACAGAGTCGGCGGGTGCTATCACCAACCAGTACTCTGTGGTTTCTCACCTACCGACCAACTCACTATTCTCACCAACCAGTACTTCCTTTGATTGGTCACTCATAGGATCACAAAGGCCCAAGACCTGGTCCACCCCTCCTCAGTGACCCACCAAGCACGACCCGTGTTCGTCTCGACCAAGTGGCCAGGCATGGTCGACTGCAGGTCCGTGCCGTCGATTTGGTCCAGAAATCGGGCCCCGTGGCCTTCCAATTCCTGGTCTCCAAAGGACAAGTGGGAGTTGTTTGGAGGAAAGCTTGTTTATGTGCACACACACATAACACAACAATTAACATGACACAAGAATTCACCCTAGGAAGAACAAACGAAGCTTGCAAATGACATCAAATGGCTCAGAATCGGACTCAGATCCTCTGTGCCATCTCGTAAGGGTTCGTGAGCGTGAGAGGACAGGACAGGAAACCAAGAAAGTCAAGCAGGTTTGTGTATAGAGGCATGCTCAATAGTCCACCAACTCCCAGCTCAACACCCTATATCGGCTTATAGTGGAGCAAATGGGAATCGATCCTCACCTCAAAACCACTCTTTCTCAAAACCGGTGCTTGAAACCGGACTAAATCCCACTGAGCGCCTCCTAGCGAGTCGATGAGTCGATGAGTCCATGGTCGACTCGTTCGAAGACGTACGAGTAGCTTTCATGCTACTCGCAGCAAGGTGCACTACGACTAGTAGCAAGAAGCTACGAACGTAACGAGTGTGGCTCCATCTCCAATCTTCTGCGAGCAGGAATGACCGCGGTTGATCTCCCCAAACTCCGCATCTGAGTTGACTTTCGACTTGCAACGTACGGACTCCACTGCTACTGTATCTCTCATGATCAGATTTCCTTTTCCCTGCTGAGGTGCATTCCGATTCGCAGCAGCAGATGGATAACCTCAGTAGGTCTGCAACCGGGCAAAGCTCTGCAAAAAGCAAGAAGCGTTCACCTTCTCATACACTTGGAACTTTTCACCGAGACGTGGGCAATTGCAACCGTTGCGCCTTGCTTGAAGTGGGTTCTGGTCATCCATTCTCATCCATCAACTGTACATGTTGCATGGTGATCCAAATCGTCTTGTCACCCAACCAGCAAAACCCAGCAAAACAACGCATTTTGGTGCACCAGTCCCAAGATACAAAGCCTTTTGGCACACTGCCCCAGTCAAAGAAGAAACATGACTCTTGACTCTTATTCCGTGACCTGTCGATGCTGTTTCTAATTACTGTATATCCAATTCCACCAATGGATCCCCGTTAATGTAGGCAAAGGACATCGCCAGCAAGCTAAATGTCCCTCCCACGGGCAGAGCTGCAATCAAACCCTGTCTTGCTACCCTAGTTTTCACCGGGCCACGCGTTTGCACCACCTGCCAATGCTCCAGGGTGGTCACGGTGAGGTCCGCCGATCGCTCGAAGCCCGACTGTGCTCGCGCGAAGCTGAGTGCGAAGCTCAAGTCGCCAGCGCCCAGCTCCAGGATGCTGCGGAAACCGGGGCATGAAGGATGGTGAGGCTGAGATGCATTCTTCACTCATGAAGGATTGTTTTTTCTGACTCCCAAGCCGTTTCCCTGGAAACATAGCGGTTAACCCCTTTTCCACATCTTCCTGCTTAGTGGGAAAACCAATTCCCAAAAAGGCCAAGGGCACTCAACTCCCTGAACTCTTTGGTTGCATGCAGGTCTTACACAAATGGTAACTCCTGTAAGCTCTGGGATGAATGTGCCGAAAGCGCCAAAAAGTTAAATAATTATGGCTCAACCATTGGGCAACACCAAGTGAACCATTGGGTATTATATAAACCATTAAAGCTGAGCTAGCAGCTATACCCACGTCGTGCGGTTTGAATCCCTGGCCTCCCTTGCATCGTGAGGAGCTCTGGCACAGGAGAGGACTCCCCACCTGCGGTGAATCTCGTTATCTAAAGCACTATTCCCCAAATCGATAAACATGGTCCTTAAGATCCTTCTAAGGGGAATCACTCTCACTGATGATCTTTTTGGGTTACTGACCATGCAAGTTGATCGATGGGATGGAATCGGGCCTCTAGCTAGAGCAACAGATTGCACTCACTTGCCGTATTGCCCGTATTGGCAAAGTGATTGCATGAGTGGGGTCCAAAGCCCTTTCTCCTATAGTATATATATCGTAAATCCTAACAAGATCTAACTATCTATTGAACATCATTGCCTTCAGAGTGATCTCATGAACCATCGTGATTGTTTTGTTTTGACCAGTGTTGGTGATTGTGGAAACCCTCATCAAACAGGAGATTTAGACAAGAGGACCAGGAGAAGGAAACACTCGATGCAAAGTCCAATCCTGTTAGGGGCAGGTTTCGGTGGGCTACAGAAGGGGCCCACCGCGGCAAAAGAAAACAAGGGCAACAAGCGCCGTGCACACTGAAGCGGCTAAATCCGCATCTCGGACTAGCGGCCACTCTGTCTTCAGTGCTACATATTGCTACCTCAGCTGCCCCCCCACCTGTGTGCAGTGTCTCCTCTCGCTGCTCAGAGAGAATAGCTGGCATTCTCAAGTTGGGAGGCGCCAAACGATCTGCCAATAGCAATGGCAGCGCTTCCTGGACGGGACACAGTGACCGATGAAGACAATTTGGCTTTTAGCTTCCAAAAGCAGCCTAAGGAAAAAAGAACAACCACATTCGAGTAGCAGAAACGGCCGTACTTCCAGGCAGTCTACCTGAGAGACTCCTCTTTGAGAAGCTTTGATTTGAGGCACCGCTCTGCAGTGCCCTGGAGTGGAAAAGTCCTTCCAACAAGTTGTCAACTTTGTCGACGTCCATGTCTAGAATTTTAAAACCAAATAAGCATACCTAAGCATATTACAGTACGTGCCTCTCACAGTTTAGCAGCCAAAGCTCCTCCATACAACAGTCAGTCAACCAATGGACAATGAGTCACTCTATAGAAAAAGGAACCCAACGAAGTCACGAGGTCGCTAGCAAACCGCGAAGATCTCAGAATCTGTGCGTCTTCGATGAATTGTGACGGCCAGCGCGCAGAGGCCGAGCTCCTCCCCTGTCCAGCAAACTCCCGACCAACAGGCCTTGGCATCACCGAGGGAGGCCCCCCAGTCCAGCTGTGCCTCGAAGTCCGCGCGTGAAGTTGGCTCCAATGCGGGCTCCAGCACGGCCTCACAGAAGAGGATGCATCTTGAACAAATTGAGAATTGAGATATCTCCGCAGCTTCCATCGAGAGACTCGTTTTAGGGGGGTCCTTGGTCCTGGCACATGGTTGGTTTAGATGTTCAACCAAAAGAGAGGAGTTTTCGGGAGCATAGTCGCTCCATGCAGTCTTTCAGACCCAAACGAATGACGCCGAACGGATAATCTCCCATGGAGGTTGGAATTTCATGAAATCAAGTCAGAAGTAGAAACTGGAAGACCGGAGACCTATGATGAAGAGAAAAAATAAGCAAACTGTCACACCCAACACGATCAGATCACATTTCCGGCTGGTAGACTCAAGTTGAACTGGAAGAATGATCAAACACACGCGCTCTCCAGCTTTTCAGAAAACCTATACCTACACCTACCTACCTACCTAATTATATACCTAACCCTGAAAACGGAGTCCAAAAAACATCCCCGCCCATTAAATCATCAAATAGGTCAGACCTCCTCTCCCCACAGATCCGTGCCCACGAACGACCACCGCTGATCCGTCGTAACGACGACAGCTCCTGCAAGAGTCGCTTCTCCCAGGTCTTGCGCTCGCTCACGGACATGTCGCCCAGGTGGGACAGCGCGGACATGTCGCTCTCGGTGGGAAAGAGGAGGTGGCCTGTCGCTCCGCTCGAACGGGACTGGGCGGCCGGAGGCAGCCGTCATTTTTTCAGCTCCTTGATCCGTTCATATCCATTCCAAAGGGTCCTGTATGGAAGTGTTGCCGACCTTGGGGAGGATTCAGGGGTTCATGTATATATATATATACATACATGTCTGATCATTGCATGCAAGAGAATCATGAGACTGTGCTGTCGGTCCAGGCACGTGCGATATCCATGAGGACTGCCACTGGCGATGACTCCAGAATGACAGACATCACATCCCAATCAGCATTCAAGTGTTCCAAAATGCCTCGGATGATCGTAAGTGGCAGAGGGTTCCTCGAGAATGATAGCGGTCACATGCGGTCACCATGGACAGAAACAAAGTAGAGGAATGCTGGAGTGACTTTCAGGTGGCAGGGGGTTCAATCAATGACTCACTTGATGAACTCGCAAGGTGGTCGCCCACCAAAGTCGACCCTACCCGTGCCCGTGTGTATGATGCTTCTGAACCTGAGCTCTGCGGGTACACCGTTTTCACCCCTGGCACCCAAGAGTCGTTTACTAGATGTTTGTTTCTACCTACCCATCGGAGCATCCCAAAAGTAGAAACCCCTCGGGCAGTATGTCACCAAGATGCTCTGGAGATTCAATGATCCAGAGAATCTCCCCGAATGCTCGAAGAGTTGACCTCAGAAACAGTTCGAAATCGACTTCTTGATGCTGGACACAGCTCTTCGTTTGTGTGGACCATCTGTCAGAATAATAGTGAGATCTTGTAAGAATAACTTCAGAGGCAATCCTGAGATATTCAAGATCCCTATAAACGACGAGATTAGACAAGCACTCAAACGATTCTTGGCAATGCAAAGAAGCCCAAGAGGGCAGAGTGCATCAGGAAATGTAAAGCCCTGTATGGCAAAGGCGTCAGCTCTCGGACCGCTTGCCGGCGCTCGCGGGATGCAGCATGGCGAATGTAGCCTTGGTGACGCTCTTGGTCGGTTGTGGATGCAACATCTCCGCTGCTGGTCCCAGTCAGATGTGTTCACTTCTTAAACCCCTGCTTGCTTGACAGATTGTGGACGCCCATGTTGGTCTTGTTGGAGTTCTTCAAACAAGGACAAACCCAGAACCCAAATTAAGATGCTGTGCTACCAAAAATTATGGTATCCTATCATATCCTAGCTGCTCTGGGAAGGTTAAAGCTGGACGGCATGTTCTCACCGTACCATTGTAGTATCCTGATCTGAACATGATTGAAAATACCAAGTGTCAACTACCCATTGTGTTGACCTAGAGTAAAGTGCCATATCAAAGCAGTGCAGCTTCATGAATGAAGTCGTATCTCTTGAAGAGATGCTACCTGGGAAGAAGCAGGAACCTTTCAAGGTGATCCTGGTTTCAATGGAGGTTTTGCACGCTCCGTGCCTGGACTTTCATCCTGACTTCGCTTGCAAAGTCCGTTAGAATGCTGCCTTTTACTTCGCAGCTGAGAGCTAAGACACACCAACATGTACATAGTACTGTTTGTACCATGAGACAGGTCAAGTAGGATCGACAAACCTGAGGTGCAAATCTCGTGGTGCCAAGCAAGACATGCCATGAGGTCTTGAAGCCTGTTGACGAAACGGATAAAATCGATCTGGCCGGAAAGCGGCCCTCGCTCAACCGGCACTCCCTAGCTGCAAGCCCAAGTCACCGGCTTCACCTGCATGCCCTTGCCGGGGTTGTGCGTCGAGCCTCCTGGGGGTAAAAACGCATGGACCTGATGGACCGTGTTGGACCGTGTCCTAGGCCTGCTCTCTCAAGTTGCTAAATTGTAGGATCTCCACTCCGAAATCCACACCTGCGATTGCTACATCCTGCGACTTCAGCATTGGGGGTGCATGCGCAAAGAAATCACTTATACTTATATTACTTGCATCGAAATGGAGCGGAAATCAAATCATCTCAAAACATCTTAATCTGGAAAAGTGTAAATGTCCGTCACACATAGTGAAGAAAAAGAGGGTTCTCAAGCCCAGCTCCTGTTGCCGTGATCTGCGTATTGGACCCCGCCAATGGGCCGACCACAGTTCGGACACCTGGACGTAACAGGAGTCATGCGCATGAAGGACTGGAGGACTGGAGGCATGTCGTTAATCCGGTTTGTTACTATACATATCAAATATATGTATATATATTATTAGTATATATAAGTATATATACTTGGGACAACCATTCCCACATCACGGGAATGTCTGTGTACAAGGAAATCCGATCCAAACTACGAGTAAATGTATTTATAGGTTTTTATAGGAGCGTATAGGGCACCAGCACTGGCGGTGGCATTTCCTTCAGTTGTGTTAGCTGCCTCCTGATGCTTTGCAAGCACTTGAGAAACAGGAAGTTCGGAGGTCATGTGGTCTATAGATACCGATGACTAGGCTCTGGTGTCTTTGACCGATCTCACAAATGGATCGAGGATGAAATGCGAAGATTTGGACAAGCATCTCATGAACATCCTGTCACAAATGAGGCTGCGAAACCTACCAATATCTACCAATGTCGATATGTATAATTGGTATTCCAAATTCCAATCTTGCATTTGCAATCTTGAGCAGTTCAAGCGGAGAGCCTGCCTTCCAGTGCCCACTGCTTGGCCACAGTCTGCGACAATGTACTTAAAACCACACTGGCACTGATATCTTGTATGCCCGCTCCCAAAATGCCCAGTACGGTAGCCGTCAAAGAGCGCGTGGAGGATCATCTGCGAGCCAAGTGGCACGAATGATCCAAGAGTTGACATCGGCTAAATAACCTTTACTGTTGCATCCTTTTGCTGCTTTTGTCCACACACAGTAAAGGTTGACTCCAACTCCCACAATACAAATAAGTAAAAATCGAATCCCAAAACACGACTCCATGAGAGAACCAGTGGCGGTGGTCTGTAGACATGGCAAACGGCATACTGTGGGTCTTTTGTGTCCTTGTTATCCAACAACAAAATGTTTTTCAATAGGTACGCGACCAGCATAGGACCAGCTAAGCAGCTAGTCCATTCTGCTCTGTGAGGCTGAGGCTGCTTATGCCGTCTATACAACTTGAGACAAATATTAGATCAGGTGATCACAGCTGATTGGGCGAGTGTCGCGGATGAGAGCCACCCGGACTACCTCAGAGCGACCTCATCAAATCTGTCTACACACCGCTCCTCCTCTTCATCATCAGGCATGGCTGGTAAGAAGCCCTTCAAGCGACCCAAAGCCACTTGCTTCAAAGGTCCCGCAAATCCTCATGACACCCACCCACCGAAAATGATTAGAATGGTCTCTACACAGTCCTTTAAACATTAAACCTATTCCACACTCTGACATTGGGTTTGCAGTTAACTCAATTCCCAAGCTGAAAGGAATGAGGGAACGGAAAGGTGGCAGAGTCCGTGGAAAAGTAATGTTGAACAAATGTTTCGCAAAAACGCTCAAGTGAAAGCGGCGATCAGCGGCTGCAGAGCGGAGGGAAACCTGTTTGAGGGGAAAGTATCGTGATCAACAACCATGGCACCAAAACACCGCAAGGAAAAGTGGGGTAGTGTCACAAGCAGGTACACGGAAGTGATCAGCTTCCGCTTCCTAGGATCTTGCAAGGAGCTTCGTTGGGCAGAGCCTTGCAAGTCCTCTCTGCCCCCCTGCTGGAAACATTTGAATGGAAAACCCTTAGATACAGAGTGTGACACACACATACACCACCTGGACCTGTTCACCTCCTTTTGAGCAAAACAGCATGATCCATCCCTGGTCTGCGGGGCCAAAAGCTTTCCGTGTAATTAGTCTTGTTTCAAATAAGCTACTGCCATCATATATATATATATACTAATTGCCCAAATCCACGTCTGTGGTCCACTAGCTCTTCGTCTCTAAGCCATGCCGTTGACTGGAGCTCACTGGGTGCTTTGTGACTTTCCAAGTGGCCAACTCCACCTGGCGCTGTCCAAACGGCCGCAGCGAGGTGCAGCGCAGTGAGCAATGGAAGGGGCGCCACCTGCGTAGCGATTTTTTGCCTTCATCACAACGTGGTCTCAAAAGAAACACGGAAAAATATGTGTCCATGAATAATTAATACTGAGTTCATTCATGGATGATTTATTTACCTTCCAGCAAGTGTTGAAGGGACGTTTCAATCATGTCTGGCCGTGAGCCCAGAGGCTCCGAGCTGGCCGTGGGCGCGGATCCCCAGGAGATTTGCAGGAGACTCGCAGAAGGCCCTTCGTCGAAGAGGGAAATGGAGTAGGTACACCTCCCTGCTGCCAAGTTCGACAACGACCCGCTGACGAGCTCGTATCTAGTAGTTGCCATGACTATCAGGGGTGAAAGAATGTTCAGACCATTGCGGCCAGCAAAAGAAGTACTCCAGGTTTGCGGAACGAAAGGCAACAAGTCATACTATCTGAGGCAAAGATGTCTCAAAACTGTCTACTTAAAAAGGGGCTAACATGACTGCCAGTTTCGCTGCGAAACGGCCGTTTCCGCTGACTCTTCGGCAAAATGGCTGCATTGGAGGGAGTATTTCCACAAACGTTGACCCGGTCGAGCCTCGTTGTCTCCACAGAGTGCGGAACCCTCGTGAGAACAAGGTGAAGGCACTGGAACCACAAAACAGGCCCGTATTTTTCTCCACCTAATCTTCCACTCCATCGATCTTCTTATGTATGTATATATATATATATTATATATATATGCACATAATGATATACAATCGTGCAAAGAAACAATTACTCTGCAAAGAATCCATCCAAGGGCATAGCAAACCAACATAGCATGTGGATCCTTCCCTGGTGTCCACTTTACACTTTGAGATGTTGGAAGAAAGTTGCATTCCAAATCATTCCCAATCCACACTTTCGAAAGGCAGCCCATTTTGAACCATCCACCCAAACCACTGCCATTCGACTGAACTCGCTCACTCTGACGCGCCGATATGACGTGCCTGCAACTGAAGCCGAATCTCGCTGGGCAGGGCCTCCCTGTTTGCCCTCACCACGGAAAGACGACTCAAGGTTGACCAGGCATCATGGGGGAAGAAAAGAAGATTCAGGAAGGTCAGCGGGAGGCCGCCAGTAACCAAATCCAAAGCATGGCCCAGCACAGCAGCGTTACGTGCTGGTAATCTGTGTGCAAAGGTACATCTACAGCCGAATCTGGGCTGGTCCCCGCAGTATTAATATATGTGTTTGTTGTTTTCAAAATTGTGTAAGTTGTTTTTTAATATAGCTCGATCAATACTGTCCCACACCAGCAGATTTTCCCAGGCACTAGCAAGTCAGCAGCAATCCTGAACCTTCAACATTCTGTAGAATTGGTCAAAAGATCTCGAAAGGATCATTGAAACATGGGACATGGTGCCACAGCTGTATGAAGAAATGAAATACATATGTAAATATGTATAAATATAGTTATATATAACTAATTATATATAATTATATATAATTATATGTGATTATATGTGTATATATACACACGTATTGTCGTAGTGTACAGGATGTGGGAGTGGGAGTTCCAACCTCCGACTACGGCGGTTGCATATCTCTTGTCAAAGAAAGCCATGGCATGCCATGGCACCCCCCCTGCGCCAGGTGATCCGAATGGAACGTTTCAGCGCCTCATCAACGGAGATAGGCTCCGCAGGGCGGGATGATCTGCAAGCCAGCCCCTTGCAGCCTCCCTCGCATCATCCACCTGGCAAAGTTGGGCGAAACATATCCAGCCTGCTAGGGTCCGTTAGAATCGATAGATATACACAAAACAGCACTCCTGACATATTGATCCTGGGATTTCTCATCAATTAGAACCCTGCAGCATACATGGATGGCTCTAATCTCCCGCAGTGGATTGTATCCCTCACATCAAAGCACCCAAACATGTCTTCTGTAAACCACTGAGAGTGGATTCGTACGTTCTACGTCTTAATACAATTGATCGCTACAAACACAAGAAGATCGCAGCGTTGCAAAGCTCCTCATTTCACAGCCCCCAAGCTGGCTGCCTTGATGCACTTCAACCTCAACTGCACGATGCTCTACTACACAAACATCCTCATAAGTACTTAATTGATGCTGATGTCCTTATAGAAGGCATGTCACAAGCTGCTCCTCCGAAACACAGGGCCTCCGCTTGGCACAGCAGACTCGCTGAGGCGGCGAAGAGCGCAAAGCGCCAGGTCGGATCGTCCATCTGTGGAAAAGACGATGGGAAACATTCAGTCCATCGTTCATCTGTGGGATCGTCCATCGACATGGGATGAGTCCATCTGTAGAATGTGTCCAGTTTGTGGAATTTGATGGAAGCATTCCATGTCCATTGAAATCTGTGGGAAATCCGTGGGATCGTCCATGGCACGGGTGGAGTTAGTCGTTGCATGTAAAATCAGGTGTCCCAGTCAGGGGATTCCAGAGATTGGTTCCTGAAGAGTCAGGAGGCGTAAGGAATAGAATAGAGATCTGGAGTGAGTTCAGCCATCTTCAGCCTTTACATCTAGTCCAAAACAGGTCAAGATTCTCAGTTACAGTTAGATGCTAGCACCCCAACTCTTCCTGTGTTTGCCTTAGATGCTGGTTACCTCCGTCAAGAATGACTCATGAATGAAAAAACAATACATTTGACATGGAAATACGGAAGAAAGGGATTCTTTTTGGAAGGATTCCTTTTCCGTAGTCTTTGGGGCAAACAATGCAGTTGCACCTCTGTCCATCACCATTCTGTGCACCTTCTCTGTGAGTTCCATGAACGCGGGCGTGTTTTGTTGGCACCCCGCAGCTTCGCTGATCACCTGGAGAACAAGAGACAGCAAGGGCAAGGACTGCACGATCCAGAAGCCACTATGTCTGTGGGACTCTCAGCATCGCAGCTGCAAATCATCGTTCTAGGTTCCAAGGCAAATGCGAGGATCCTACGCATCACCCAGGTCCGCACTGGAAATTTCGACTTCCTGCCAAAATCCACAGGTAAGGCAAAGGCTAGTACAAAGATCAACCACGATTTCAGTACCCTAGGAGCTACTAGCGCAGCAATACAACATGATGCATTGACGGTCCGAACTCATCTGCATCTTATGCCATAAACGCTTGCTGAGTGCATTCTTCTCAATGATCCTGTGTAGCATTTGTTTTAAACAACTATTGTCATTGTATGATATTGTATGTATATACTGTATATATATACATATAAGCTAAAATATGATGCTCCCCAAGTACCATCGGTTGTATTGAGACTGTATACTTTAGATTTGGTGAGTCCCGGCGTCCATTCCAAGATCAGGTATCCACAAAAGGTCACTTTGGCCCCCAACCTGGCATTCCCTTCATTGGCTCAAGAAAGCAGGGGTCAAACGCACAACCCATCTCATTCTCAGAGTCAGATGCTCAGCGGAAGCAAACAGAAGCCACCATCGTTTTGAGAGATCAAGGTTTTGGCTGAGATCATGCTCGTGTTCAACGACATCTGTTGCTCAATGCGCAAATCAAAAGAACTTTATCTAAGCCTATCTTAGCAACAAACCTTCCAATACCCCACCTGTGCAGCATCCACAGCTTCTGGCAGAAAGCCACCGAGGAACATGGGCACTGGACCCTTCAGCAAGGGTGCATCCCCTGTCGAGCAAGGAACCGCCGACGCGACTCCATGTAGCGAAGGTGCATCCTCCCAGTTTCTGAACCCGAGAAATGGGTGGTTCACCGACATCATGGTGCCATGAAAACGATCCAAGCCGAAGAATTTCAGAGGGACACGAGAGCAAAGTGGGTTAGTTTTAGGCCAGAAGAACTCCAGCTACTGCTGCTAGACGCTGCTAGCAATTCCGAGATCAAAACGGGATGATATGATTGTATATGATAACTATGACCCCCTTACCAGAATGGTTGCATCTCATTGCATCTCCATATCAGATTGGAATGTGTGGGCATTCGGCTTCGGACCTGTGCCAAAGGAAGAAGCCACGGACCTCACCGACGACAGCAAGGCTGCTGACCATCCTGGAAAACCTGTGCATCACTCCGATCGACGTCCCGCCAGAACGCCGCCTGGCCGTGGCAAGCTAGCTGAAAGCCACTGAATCTGTCGGCCGTGCTGCAAGAGGATGTCCTGGTTGGCTACCTTGTCGCTCACCTGTCAGATGCAAAAACTCCATGATTCCCAAATTTAAAACTGTAGAATTATCAGGTAGTTCCTGTCATTTCACGAGGATTTGTGCTTTGCATACAGATTTTATCATTGTCATTGTCAGATGATTTGGTTGTGCTGAAACTCTCCAACCCCATTCAGGGACAAAACTGGCAAGCAACAATGGATCTGAATTTGGGCAACGTCTACCCTAACTACATGGGAGTAGGGTACTCTGACCTCTGGAGTCAGCACAGCTGCATACAAGCAATTCTCGAAGCACGCCATGGTTTTGTCCAGCAGTAGCGCCCGAGAATGTTCTGAAAGTGCAAGTGCTCTCTAGTCCCCTAGGTACGGATCTTGACGATGACATCCATGTACGTGGGGCACCTCACATTGGATCACTGCTTTATTCCCAAGAAGCCTTGGTCCACAGAAATTATTGATGACTTTTCAAACAACTCTACCACTGAAGAATTGCCGACAAAATTCAACTGATGAGGATGTGGCATGTCAAAACAACAAGTCCTGGACTCGGTGAGCATCTCCACTAGGCTGCCGGGAGCAGCAAGCGGGGTCATACCCATCTGCTACAAGACTTTAGGGGTCAAACGGCACCATGGTCAAGCTTCATCGAATCGAAGTGAAGGCAACAACAGTTGACAATTATGCAAATTTACCTCGCAAAAGATCTCATGAACGTAATGCCGTTCATTGCAATCCGCAACTGCAAAAAACCTTCAGGAACCTTCAGGAACTCCATGGAAATCCCCTGCTGAAGCAGGCACCTTTCTGCATCGCCCAGTCCGGCCGTTCGGCGGTCCATCCGCCCCCAATCCGCACTGCCTCCCGGAGCACTGTGCCGCGGAGCAAGGGAGCCAGGCCAAGGGGATCTTCACCTACCAAGCTGGATGTCAGACGTGTCATTCTTTCTCAGGCAAAAAATGGGGAGCTCTTGGAATAAGTCCCATGGGTGTCATCAATGTTCATTTGGTTTGATGATGGGTTTCATGAAGTTTCATGATGGGCTCTGGTCATAAGCCTTGAGAGCGATGTATCATAAGCCTTGAGAGATGGGTCGTTCGCGCGAAAAAAGGGGTCGTTCATGATGGGTCGTGGCGGCCAAAGCTCGGTCCCGACCAGATGAGCCCATCGACATGAAGGCAATGTGCTTCATGATGTGTGTGTGTTCTTTGCGTTCGTTCTATCGTTTCTTTAGCCCCAATGCCTCTTCCAAGGCAATGGTGCAATCCATACCATCAAGCGGAACATCGGGATTCTGCACCACAACACAACGATCAAAGTCTGCCTATAGGCGTAGACATCCTAGAACAACTTGGATTGCTGGAGAAACAATGACTAGCCGGACTAGTAGCCTGCAGTTAGTTCTTTCACTGGCAACGTGGACTCACTTATGGAGACACCCAAAGGGTTGCTTGTCGATGTCTTTATAATTGCCGCTTGTTGGCCAAAAGACGCGTGAGACCGTGAGATCGGCTTCCCCTCTCAGGCACCGACCTCCAGGTCTGCAAGCTGCATCCAAGACCTCATCTAAGCCGTCCCACAAGGAGTCATCCTGGCAGAAACGTGAGACTCGTCGACCCTGGTAGGAGTTGGCACACCTGCAACATGAAACTTGCAGGAATCCAACTTCTTGGCATGCAGATTCTACCTATGCCCTATGCTTCAGTACGACGGCTCAAGAGATTGACCAGTGCGCTCGATTGCATGCTCCGCTCTGTGGGTATGCGTGGGTGGTCTGGGCAGATCTGGTGGGTGGTGACGAGAGCCTAGGGAGCTTTCAGGGATTTGCTTTATGTCAATTGTCGTAGTTGATGGGACCAATGAACCATCCTGCTCCACGGGTACAAAACAAGGGGGGAGCCGGGAGCCCATCTAGGTCTGCCGGTACATTCTGTCTCATTCTGCATGCTTAAGGGGATCCTCATTGATAACGATACGGTGATGTGTGAGAAAGAGTCTAGCAACAACGGTCAACAAAAAGAAATGAGGAAAACAACCAGTCTCACTCCTACTGGCATAGGTAGTGCAGGGTTGTATCCAGTCACAACCCCATCAACGCACCTTTTTTCAGATTTGTTCAACTGTCACCGAACCGTGTTTGGGAGAAGACCAATGTCACCCGTCGAACCCGGACAACACCACGACATGCCCGATGTCACCCGCCGTGCTCTGACACCGAACCTCGATGATGGCCACTGCGGCCCTTTGGGCGCTGAGCCGCAAGAGCGCCAAGGCCGAGAGGTGCTCCAGGCTAAAGGAACCAACCGACCTGGGAGCCACGGCAGAAGGAGTCGGGAGTTGGAAAGCGAGGAGTCGGAGCACCGAGCGTTCCAAGGACGAGCTTGTTGGGGTGTTGTTTGTTCAGGGGCGACGGTCATAGAGAAGACACAACAAAAACATAATCTATACAAATCTCGCGAATGGAAGTTGCCCCAAAAAAACAGCAGAATTCCACGTATCCACGTATGTTTCTGGAAAGTGTAACACGCGTCTTTGTCCAGTATCCAGGATTCAAGAAGTGGAGAGCCAAAAGACCACAAGACAAGAGGTATTTACAACAAAAATATCCAGTGTTGCTGTTCCCAAGGAGTGTAGGAAAACGTCGACGTGGTACGTTCGCTCAACCCTGCAAGTTCATTTAGTCCACTGACATCTACGGATTGGCAAATTCTTGAACGTATTGTAATCGCATCCAAGAGCTGTGGAGTGACCTGTGGCTATTTCACGAGTCGCAACGAGTTTTGTGCTACCACGAGAGCCTCCACCGAGGGCAGTTCGCAGCTCGGCATGTGTTTTCCACACGCACCTGGACCAGTACTGAGCCACAAAGACCGCAAAAGGTCCACGGCGTTGGAGATTCTCCTTGCTTCCAGAAACTCGGAGCGCTTAATGTCCTCGGTGAATCGAAGACCAACTGGACCCAAGAGGGAATATACCCCATGACCATCCAGGACAACATCCATGCCTATATAGTATAATGTGGTGTAATAGTAATGCCCATCAAGATCCCCCTGTGGGTTGCTCTTCTTGCATGCACACACACATATACAAACGCCGGCGGGTGGATGATGTCAAACAGGAGTCGTACAAGTTCCCGATACAGAACATCGGGAAAGATCTGTTTGGCAACGATACTGGGTCATCGAAAGCTGCTTCAAACTGGCAGCGAGAGTAGATCGGAAAAAACGACAATGCTAACCAAACACCTCAACTTGTACCTACGACAAATCGAAAATCACTGACTAGACAACTCTCTTTTTGGCGGAAGTGCATTGAGATGCTTTGGACCACCATCATTACAGTAAGGTTTTACCCATCTGAAGCAAAGAATACGTGCAATTACCCCAAGCTAAAGCTTAAGATTGAATCTAGCCGATTTCTTGCGATTCTTGCGATTGCCCAGAGCCTACACAACGCCCTCGGCACCTTCGGCGCAGGCAGGCGGATTTACATAAATTGATTGAACTTCTCTTCCCTCCAAGGTCCCGGGGAAATGAACTGACGGCCACCTTTCCGCAGGATTTCCGCAAAAGGACACGGGGTTGGCGGGCGGAAAGAACTGCTGAAGATACCCTTTTCAGGGGCCTTGACACTTGACTTGGCAAACCAACACTTGACTTGGCACAAACAACATCAAGCAACTACGTCCAATTGGCAAACCAAGGATCCAAAAATGGAAAGCCATGGTCCTGCGAGCGAAGTCATGCTCTGCACGGAGCATTCCACCTTTACAAACCTAGCAAGCATCCTCTGATGCCCCCACCAGCTAAAAATAACATGTTATATCATGTTATTGATCTACAGCAAGCAACGCTAGGTGTGGAACTGATCAGTGTCCTACAATGTCCTATACGCGTACTCGCCCATAGCCTCATTCAGTTGACTCTGGCTTTTGCAGGATGCTTGGTCTGTACAGTTTAGGTCCACATGACATCTTTCATCCAAGGCCATTCACAGATTCAATGTAAATCCGCCGACCCCACACCGTGGGGTGAGGCGTGACTGTCGATGTTAGCCTTAGGCCTTAGCCTTAGCCTTAGTCCTTAGCCTTAGACCTAGTCCTTAGCCTTAGACCTAGACCTAGACCTTACCTCCCCTACCCCTCCGGACCCTTGTTGGAGTGACGAAATCCTGCCGGGAAAGCGACCTGGATTGTCCAAGAATCTGCAATCCCAATTGATTTACATCTTGGGGCACCCTCTCGACCCGCGCGGGAAAATAAGCACGGTCCAAAATGGTCCTGGGCTCGAATCCCGGGCTGGTCGCGGCGTGGTCCCGGCCAATACCCTTGCTTTTTCAGCATCACGGGGTTCATGCAAGCGATGACGTCCGAAGGTAAATCTGGGCGGTACCCAAAAAGTCGACTTTTTGGGTACCTGCTTTGGTGATGCTGTGGTGGTGATGGGTCTGAACTCTAAGGCAACGATATCCGTTATGGGGAGAAGGGATGAGCATCACGGGGTTCATGCAAGCGACGACGTCCGAAGGTAAATCTGGGAGGTGCCCGAAAAGTCGACTTTTTGGGTACCTGCTTTGGTGGTGATGGGTTGGGTCAGCGGGAGAAACCGATCGATTCAGCACAAGTCCGGGCGCCGAGTCGACTGTTGGGGTACCTACTTTGGTGGTAATGGGTTGGGTCGCCGGGAGAAACCGATCGATTCAACACAAGTCCGGGTGCCGACACTTGTGGCACTTGAATGTACCCGAGACCATGGGCAACGCCCTCGCTGGCTGACGCGACCTAGCAAACACCATGGGCAGCGCCCTTCTCCCGCAACAAACACCGGCTGCCTCTCACCCGACCACTATGTGACGGGGGCTTTTCTCAACTCCTGCATTTGGCTCAAAGGGTGCTCCAGGAAACCCTACCCTCCCCACATCCACGGCAACGTCCTTCCTCCTACCGTGGAACCACCCGCTTCCACACCCTTCCGTCCCCCCCTCCCCCCCTGGCCTACCGCACTGCAGACATTCCGCCACGCGCGCGTGCCGCCCGCGTGTACATGGCTACGGTCTCTTCCCTGGCTGCCGCGAGAAGCTATCCATCACCTCCCCGAGCTTCCGTTTGCGCTGCTCCGTCCTAGAACCAACACGCCACATGGCGCGGGCACGGGCGCCTGACAAGCATGCGAAAATCTTCCCAGGGCCTTTCACGTTACCACGGGCACTGGCTGGACCTCGTCCAGCGCAAAATCTACACAAAGCCTAGCGCATTCCTGGGCATTGGCCGGGATTAAAAATAAGTTCATCAATTTTTGAGCAGATCAGGGAACCTACATGCAAGCGGACATGAAAAAAGGGGGAACTCCTACCCGGGGGCGGTCTAAGGCTAAGGCTAAGCTAACGCTAGCGCTAAGGTTCTATCCCTTGGGGGTCGGCGGCTGCAGGCGGTAGCCTGGTAAATAACTGAATAACTACCAGGACCCTCTAAGGAGATGCCCAATGGAAGCCTATAGGTAGTGTGGGGTAGTCCAGCCAGGACACCCCTTGGAGGGTCCAGGTATAAGTATAACAATTTCATACCATTTCAACAAAGAGACACCAAGCCGTGCTTCGGGGCGCTTGGCTCGCATTGAAACCGCACATCGTTGGGGAGAGAGAAACGAAAAAGCGAATGACCTCTATAGTACATAACTACAATCCGTCTGTCGGGATCCATTTTCCTCCGGACAATAAAGCTGATTGGACATTGCGGACGAGGAGTTTCAACATCTTTTGCAGTTTCCACACCGGTTTCAGCAGGACAGATCCACTGATGGGTCGACCGATTCTTGAGATCCAGCGACCACTGCCGGAATGGGTTTTCTCCACCCGGAGCCCGCGTCCCACAGCCAAGCACTCCTGGATCTCCACGCATATGACCGCACTCAAGGCCGCTCCAGCACCGGCCTCGGTTTATCGGCGTGGTGTCACAAGAGACCCTTTTGACGTGGTAGAGACTGTTTGGTCTAAAAACCTGCAAACAGTCAATGCCCATGGTGGAAGAAAAGGCTGAAATACCTCAGCTCATGGCTCATAGTGTTCCGTGGCCAGTCATTATTTACAGCTGAGTTTTGTTGTTTTTGGTGGTGCAGGAGTTCTTTCATCAGCATAGAAATCAGGATCTGGACTTGACTTTAAGAAGCAACTGGCATTAAAGGTCTTGTCGGCAGCCAAAAAAGTAAAAGCACGGGTGACAGCAGTGCCAGCATACTCTCAGGAACAAATTCACAGTCACGAAGGTTCCTTTTCAGACAAAAAGTTCCAGTCGGCCCAAGCTGAAATTGAAAAGACTGGATTGGTTTAGCATCCTCTTGAACGTCGCTATACTGCCTCCATTCCATATCGAGATGTCAAAGTGCTTTTGTGCAACTATATATGCGCACTATTGAGTACTTGCTTTTCTTCTGAGCTCGATAAAACATGATAACACTGACTTCTTTTGATGACTCAGGTCAACCCACCAGCCCGTCTCCACGACACAAAGAACTGGATTCCCGACTTCTGGACGCTGAAGTCGACACTCGTGCAGGTCTTTCAGAACTGCATTCTTTCACAACTACTGGTAATCCAATAGAGAAAAAGAGACAGAACATGTTTGACGAACAAGACAAGAAACATTGACCATGTTGGCAACCATCCGCACTTGCAAGATTACGGCAAAAGGAAGAATAGCAACAGCAACAACAATGACAACCACAACGACACCAAACCAAGGACGACCAGCAACCAAGACATGAAATACCATTCTTACTTTCATTGCTGCAAGCCTCAGCTCCCGTGCTGTGAAAGGGGAAGAAAACGAAAAAAACCGCCCAGGTCCCGTGTGTTTCATCGGAAAGCGGGGCCTGTTTTGCAAGCCACTCCAAGGCCTTCAATGCATTGGAACCACCTCGGCCAGCGGAGCCATGAAGATCGACGGCATGGAGGCCCAAACAATGGGTGAAATGTTTTCTTGTTTTCCTCTTACTCAGGTCTGAGCTGGGGCATCTGGTTTGAGACAGGTGCCTACGAGCTCTAATATCTCTAATACTCTTGAACTTGAAAGTGTCTGTATAGTCTTTCTAGGTCTTTCTCCTTCGTGTTGGCCTCCCTTTGCCTTGACTCGTTTCAACCTGCAGGCAAGATGCCATTGCTGGGGTTCCTTGGGTGGCAAGCACGCAAGCCCCCAAATGAGGCCATTTTGTTGTTGATCCGCTGCGCTCACAAACATTGCAACGAAAGCATTTAATTTCACCCTGAAAGCCTTTGAGGCTCTGAAGACTCTGAAGTATTCCTGAAAATGGGACGTACCCAAACCATCGATGTCGTTCAGCCAAACAATGCTGGCATGGATTCTAAGTAGACTCCAGCTATCATCTTTGGCTTGGTCAAACCGCTCTATATACAGTCATTCACTGACTCGGGAAGAACCAAAGAGGCACAAACTTGTTGATGGACAAGCACATGTGTTTTCAATGTTTGCAATTCCCTTTCTCTGCTCAAACATCCCTGCGTTGGTCGCCACAATCACCTTCCAATGGATTAATTCTACCTTGGAAGGACCTTAAGACTTAGATGTCGCGGATCAGTGTATCAGTTGCTAAGCTATCTAAGCTTTGCTTCCAAGGACTAAACCAAGTGGTCAAGAACCCGCTGCTTCGATGCACTCCGCGGTCTCCCATTCCAGGCTCGGAGAGACCCCATGAGCGGGGTGTAGAGTCACATCACACCCCTTTGGGAAAGCGGACTTGGTGCGGGCACTGCCTTCTGAACTTAACCAGCATTGTGTCGAAGGAGAACATGGATCAACCATCTTGACACCTTTCAATCTTCCAAGTCTCTCTCCAAATATAGCATAGACCACCGTTAAACGTGAGATATATAACGTCAAGGATGGATTAAGAACCTCCCCAAGTCTTTCCCAACCAGTTTGGTCCACCTTTCTTGGAGCCAATTGACTACTAAGCACCTTTCTACCCATTCGTCAACCCCTTTGATTTCACCTATCCCTCATCCAGTGATCCTAATGTAAATTAAAAGCCCTTCTCCAATTCAATTCCAACATGCCTTTTTTCTGATGCTGGCTCATTGTTGGCTCATGCCTTTGGCATTGTTTTAAGTCTTTGGGATCCCTCCTCATGAAGAAATTTAGTCTCGGTGACCTCCTGATTGACCCCCCTCAATTAACAAAAGATCCCAACTTTCTCTGACCCCACCAAACAAGAAACCTTCTAGAGTGGGGTTATTAATCCATCCTCAGAATTAGGAGAGACTGGACAATCCAAACAATGCCAAAAGCTTGCCTCCCCGGAAAGAAACAAGCAAACCTGGTATAGCCAACTTCGCCCACCCCAAAGCGCTTTGATTTTTGGATCTCCAAATACTCCAAATCTCCGAAGTCCGATGAAGCAGTTGGGATCGTCCAGGGCAGCCGCCTGCACCAAGTCCCGCACCAGCACAGCAGTCGCCACAGCTGGCGAACCCACCAGCACTGAGGGCAGGACACCTGCCGGTGTGGTGCTACCCACCATGTGGAGCATCACCAATCTCGTTAGCTTCAGCATAAGCGTTTCTATGAAATCCAAGCATAGGTTTCTATGAAATCCCCTTCTAGAGCTGGTCTGTGGTATCCCACTGTTGGGAAAGTGATGTCTGAGTGACTAACATTACATCTCAGAAACTATTGCACCCATACGAGCCTATTGCTTAATGGGACTTGCAAGGAAAACATCTTTGGAAACCCCAAATCCTGCAGCGACCCATCAGCACGTTTGTCTCAAGTGATCGAAAGGTGCTGAGTGCCCAACAAAATCAAATCGTCTTCTAATTGTCTAATGTTCAGGCCATTGATGTCCTTCTGGGAATACATACACCAATTCGTTGTACACGACCGGGGTGTCCCCAACCCACCAACGCGACCTTGGTATCTCAAAATGTCAACCCGATGTCTCGAGTTCGGGCTACGAACGTTCGAGTTCACCATTACATGCTCGAACCGTCCCATGAATCCAGACTCTATGTTCTCACAACTGGACCAGACTCTACGACTGGATGAACACCAGCTCTACCAGACATGGTGATGAATCCGGACTCCCATGAATCCCATCTCACCAGACTCTACCATCTCACAACCCGGCCTTCAGACACTCCATGCTTCAGCAACCGTTGGTGTGCGAAGAGCTGGAACCGCTGCTGTGCACGGGCGGTCAAATGCACTTCGGCCGCTTTCAGCGTCCGCCCCACCTGGAGGACGGCGCGGTGTGGCAACAGCGAGAGAGCTTCGACTGCAGTCCAGCCACATATTTCTGCGCACGAACTGCGAAGAAATAATGAGAAAGTTATGCAGGATGTTCCAGCACTGGTCACAGACACTGCTTTGTTGGAGTGTCAACCGTACGATGAAAGGATCGTTGGAGTGCCAGGCGTGACTGGGGGGGCAATCTAAGAACCTGGTCTGATGAAGTCTATGGTCATCAAAATGTGGCGGGACTATACTTGCCAACGATCTCGCAAAAATAAAAGAGACGACTCTAATATATATATATATATGTGTTTTTGTTTTTTCCCCACACAGTTTACTGTTGGGGTTCTATCTTAGAAAAATAGAGCTGGCCACACTCACACTGGCCGCGCCCCTGAACTCTGTGGCTGGGCTCTGTGGCCCGGCTCTGTGTCCGGGCCTTGTCCTCCTCTTGTCCTTGTCTGGCTGGGCTCTGTGGCCCGGCTTTGTGTCCGGGCGTGCAGTTCCCAAACAGCTGGAGGCTTTAGAAAAGTATACTTGCATTCGTTTCCACCAACATTGGAATTTTCGGAGTCGACGCCGACGCCGAAAAAATGATGACGCTGTTTGGGGTCTATGCTGGTATAATTACTTGTTATATTGTATTGTATATGATATAGATATTATATATATATATATGTATATGTCTGGAAATGAGAATCGGAGGCCGTTCAACTGGTCCTGAGGTGTAGGATGAAAGAACGCATCTGGGATGTTATGCGAGTAAGAGATTTGGAAAATGCTTCTCGCCTCTTCCACCAAAAAGCCGAGAACGCATGGGATATTGCTGGAATCCCAGAGCAAGATGATGTGAATTTACAGTTTCAGCTGGACATTGAAGTTACTTAGTATGTGTTGACTCTGTTGAGATAAATAGGCTGGTTGTGGAAGCAGCCACCGTTCCCTCAATAGTTCAGCTTCATAGGTTGGTGTGTTGAGACAATTCCTCGAAATAGGTGCTCCAAAAACAGGTTGAGCATGTTTTCACAAAACAGTACCTGGGTGGTCTGGAGGTGACAACAATGATAAAGAACTATGAAATCATTGCCTTCCAAAGACACTCCCACCAACATTCAAAAGTATGAAGAAATGGCGTCTTGTCTTCCCACTTCCCTCTTGGTCCACCTCTTTCCACCTCTTCCTAGCACATCCCTCTTGAGCCAAGGGCACCAAGTCACTCAGTTGATCTGCGCTCCGGATCGGCTCCTAGGAGAGATCGTCTGGCAGTCTCTGGATCCTTGAGAATGTGGTATGTTCTCCCCACAACCTTCCAAAATAGGCATGTCTTCTTGGGAGGTCCATGAACAACACCTGAACAAGTCCGTCACCCACATGTCCAAACAAACTCCACAAACGTTGGGTCTTGGATTCATCATGTGTCATATAGTGTCATCATGTGTCCCGATCTCTCTATCTCTCTCTTTCGCGGCTGAAATCGCGAAATCGCTGGCTCGATCTCTAAGGCTCGATGGCCAGCTCCGTCCAGAAGTCCAAAAGGTTCTTCGTCTCAATCTTCAAGCTCAGCTCAGTGACCACCTCACCACCAACCGGTCCCGCACGGTGGTCCCGCACGGTGGTCCCGCACGGTGGTCCCGCACGACGCGGGGGCGGGCGACCGGTCCGAGACGGTGGACGAGACAGCGTGGACTGGTGGGGCTCCCAGGTTTTTCACGACCCATGACCCAGGTTATCCCAGGTTGTGGGCAGCTCATTCAGCTGCGCCCCATTTTTTATGGACGCCGTGTGCTTGATAGCTTGTGGGGCAAGTCTTCAGCTTCTGGGTCTTCACCAACGATTCATTCATTGCTCAGGCTCCAGAAAAAGAATAACTCGTGTGTAGAATCGCCAAAGGCTTTGAGGTGCAAGATGCACTAGTGAATCAGTTCATGGAACAGGAAATGTCTCGTCAACACGACCTGGATGATTTCAACCCCCTGCCAGTCACATTGTCTGCTTGCACCAGCTGCCGAGCCACACTGAGTGCGCTGACCTCGACCGGCAAGTGCTCTGAATGTTCCAAGCAGCTGCGTGCTGCTGAGAGACATCTCTTGGCAACCCAAAGCCAAGAGATGCCCAGTGTCTGAAGTGTCGCAGGGCAGGGGTGCACTGCAGCACATGCGTGGGATGTTATGGTGCCCATCATCTTCTGAACATTCTCTGGAAACCGTTGATCTCTCCCATGAAGGATGCCCATCAAGCCAGTCAAATCTCTCAAGTCAGCCGGGACTGCTGCCAACTGCCTCAAAGCCAGCTGTAGGGTCCCTTGATGTCTCCATAGGAACCTTGGACTTGTCCAAGATCAAACACTTTCTTCGGATGAAATCCCAAAGAAGGTTTGAGCGGTTTGAGGATCTGACATCTCTACCTCCAAACCGAAGCGAAAAAACCTCGACGACATCGGCGTGCGACATGGGCGTGCGGCGACATCGGCTAGGGCAGTTAGGGAGCTGATGGAGCTCGGTGATGCCGCGATTCTTCACTTCGTCCTGCAAGATCGGCCGGAGGAAAAGCTGTTGATCCTTCTGCAAGAGAGGCACGGCGGTCAACCGCAAGGCAGCCAAGTCTTGGGCGTAGGCTTCACGATGCTCCTCCCATGGCAAAACAATAAAAACATAGTTCCATTGAAGGCAAAAGAAATCGTCAAAAGTACTTATCATGTCTTATCGTGTTTTCACGATCATGTTTCATAAGATAGTATTTAATGGTTCTTTAGATGCTTTTAGATTAGATGTTTTAGAATTTACAGCAATTATATAGAAAGAAACTGAGCTCAGCTCTCAAGCTTCGCCTTCGCTTGGTCTTTATGAGGATGAACAAGGCTGAACTGAACAACAGGACCTTAGGCGTCCCAAAACCCGGCACGACCCTTCAATGGAATAGGAGTGCGCCTGGCAGGGAAAACTCTCCCTTCAACCAACAATATGGTTTGCTTCTCGCACCGATCCTTCAGCATGGACAGCCACTTCTCGCTGATCGAGGCCTCCATCGCACGCCTCAAATCTCCAACGCGAGGGTCCTGGACAAATGCCAGCGCCGGTCGGCCGGTCAGCGCACGTCAACACATGGCGCAAACAGGCATCTGGTGGATGCTGAGTCCGGTGATGAGCTGACAATGACAAGGTGGTGCTGCAACCAAGCCTCTCCAGTGCCTTCAAGGCCGCGTTCGCCACTCTCTCGTTAGGACTTCGTTAGGGCCAGGTCCTTGCCACCTCACCACACACTTTGGATGGGCTAATGTTAATAGACGTAGCAAGGATTCGTGTGATTATACCGATCTGGGGATACACTACGTAGGAATCAGCTATTCCTGTGGTGTTTGGTCTATTGGTGATTGACCGCGGTTTTGTGCCTCCCAGCGGGGGTCCTGGTGGTGAACATTCTGCAGCTTGTGCTCGAAGAAGGTCGAGCGGAAAGAATCCAACTGCTCTGCGAAGTGGGCAGCAAAAGGCACCCGCAAGGACTGCAGATGTTGAGGATATGCATATTGCTCCGGGGTCGTCGGCTCTGGCACCTGAATCCCATCTGTTCAGATACTGAGAAAATTGCGGCAAGTCGGATGGTAGATCGATCCGACACCATTGGTGCCGTGACTTGAGAAAGGTTTGAAACGATTTCCTCGTCACCCGACACAACCACTGATGGACGACCGTTTTCTCCCTGTTCGCCCCCTGAAACAGGCTTCTTGATTGTGCTCTCTGACGCCTCCTGAATCTTGGGCAGCAGCTCTTCTTCGCAAAGCTGAAACCAGGACCGGCGGAGTGCAGAATCGTCAGGGTAGAAGCTCAAAGTCTTCAATGCGCAGCTCTTCTCCAGAAGATACCTGTCAGCGTCAGCTGCCGGTGCCCGTCAGCGTGGCTCCAAGGCTCTGGAGGTCGGTGTTTCTTGGAAGAGTTGGAAGAGCTCTTGATCTAACCAGGTCCCAGGTTCTTCAACTTGTGTCAAATCCACCACACTGTCACTATGGTGCTTGCAGACAGGACTTTGCCAACTGGATACACCTGGGGGACTTCTTGGACCATCTATATGGGGAGTTGTTTAGCCTATTTAGTAGTCTATGGTTTACCGAAAGACAGACACATTCCGCCGTTCATCCGCGAGTTATATTAACCTGGTCAAGACGTGTATGAACAACGGCCTGGTCACCGGTGGAGCTTGGGGTATAGCAGAACAGCAGAACTGCAGAACATAGTATCACCCTACTCATTACTAATCATCATTGGAAGCTCCAGAGGGTTTGAACTCTCCATCAAAGGTGTTTAGACCCTTGTAGACATTGTAGACCCTTCAAAACTTTGAGCGAAGTAATCTGCCACCAAGGAACAAAAAGACGGCCGCGGGGCCCCGCACCGCTTGCCGCACAAAGGCTTCGATGCAGTCGGCGAAGCTTGCATGGCCTTGCATCAGAAAGAGAGATGAAAGTAACAGGAGTCAGAGGTGACCAAAGGAACACACTCATGGGATTTTGAATTCAAAGTCAACTCAAGTTCTGTCATGCCATAGCCTGTCGCAAAGTGCAATCTCATGACCTTGCATAACACGGTTCATGACATTGCACTTTACAAAAGGCTATGGCATGAGACATGACCCCTCTCCGACTCTCAACTCAGAACGAACCTGCTGACCAGAAAAGAATGGCCTGGGGACAATCGCACAGGTGGTTCCCCCAATAGAAGGACTCGGAAACTGACTTAACTTGAGAACCAATGCATGTTGCGCCCCCAGCTAGCCACATGTCGCTGCATGCTTTCCGCGGCATCGTGGTTTCTCTGACCTCATGATAGACGCCACTGGTGCCCGCACCAACAAGGTTTTGGAAAGCTGAGATAGCTACATAGACTCCAGTGACTCCAGTGACTCCAGCAAGCTGGTGAAGTGACATGTCAGAGCTCTCCCGACAGAGACATTCTGACCATGAAGTGGATCCTTATCCTTCTGCACCAAAGGAGCAGCTCATCTCCAACAGGAGCAGAATGAAGGGATGTTTTTGAGCTCATTCAGGTCTCATCAAATGACCAAGCAAAAGCCACTAAGGTCTCAAAATATTCGGAACACCATATCCGTCTTATCGAGCGGTCTCTGCTCATGGGACGTCTGTTCGTCAGCTGCGATGGATGGCCGTTCCTCAATGTTTTCCCAACATGCTGACCGCTGTCCAGATATATGGCCAATGGCGCAGGCAATGACTCCGGGCATTGGCTCCTCCTCTCTCCACAGTGCAAGCTGACAAGTGTTTCGTCATCCGACTTGGGTATCAGCTTGACTTGTAGTAGTCTGTTGACGGATATGAGGCCGAAAGCCTCTGGAAGACCCAGCTCCACCATGCGCTCATTGTCCTTGGTCATCACCGAAGCCTGGCCCACTTCCCGCGTGACATGTGGCGCAAATGGCATGTCTGGATGAACTCTTCCTTCCTGGCAGCAACGTTGCTGGTCTTTCCGTGTCAGACAGCGGTTTCCTGGGACAACTGCTGAAGGAACATGGAACATGGTCGATGACCCCTGACTGAAAGCACAGACTGGTCGACTCGAGCTGCAGCCGGGGACCTTGAGCTGTAGTACATGTGAACAGCTAGATGATGCTACATGCATGTCCTCCAACTCTCAAACTAAGAAACATTCCCAAATCTGAAAGCAACAGGGATTCCTCTTCTGTCAGTCAATCATGCGGAATTTAATGGTGCTGAATCCAACGTCTTGATTATTCACCCTCTCTCTTCTCCAGAGTATCAGGCCTGCTTGGCGCTGCATATCTTTCAGCACCTGCGAATTGAATCAAAGAAAATCTCGTGGAGAGGCTTGTGTGGAGCACGCGGAGAATGGCAAGGTCCATAGGACATGATGTCCATTGCTTGGCCCTCCCCTTCAAGGCATTCCACCACAGAAACGGCCGAATCTCTAATGATTGATCCATTGTAGTTGTATTGCAGTCAATGATGGTAGTAGTATATTCAGTATAGTACATATATAATGAGTACTGTGAGTACAGTGGCAGGGTTTCGTGGTTCAGTGAGGAGACAAATCAATTCAAGTGCAGGAATGTCATTGCTATATAGTTAGTCAATTTAGTTTTGGCACTTTGACCTGTGTAGAGTTGTTCCTAGGTATACAACAAGAATTCCACGGAGTGGAACAGGCAGCTAACTGAAGAAAAGCTCCAAGAAAGCGTGACAATATCTTTTCGAAGGGACAGACAAATGCCTTCAGTTTCACAAACCTTCACCTCCTGGGTAGAGGGTCACCAAATCTCTCGGGTATCAGCATTCTTCTTTGAACGAAGGAACTGCAGTATTTGCACAGCTGTAGGTCCATAGCCACGGAATCCTGGTTTGCACAACGAAAGCATGACCAAACCTATGTATGGCCCTTGGTCATGAGGTTTGGAGCGCCTTGTGCCACCAGACTTGTCCTTGTGATTGCCAAGCGTTCAGCTTGTCCATGCAAATCCGCCGCAGCAATGCCTCCGTCGCAAGAAACGCAGGCTTGAGATTAACAGCAACTTTGGGATTATGGATGTACGTGAGACACGGTCAACTTCTTTCACTACAGTAGATCGACGGACATCAGGATTTAGTGAGTTTGTTGTCGGTTTTCAGGTTTGGACTTTGTTTGTGACTATTATACGTACTATGTTATATATTAAAGTATAATAGTTATATAGTTATATATACTTTGCCTGTGCCTGCAAACGAATGACAAATGCTGGCTGGGGCACTGACTGGAGCCGCCGTGGATACGCTTGTGATCTTTACTTGACTCCTCTTTGGTATGTCCATGCACTGTGAGAAACTTGCTACTGTATTTACACTATTTTGAACTTGATTTCGTCTTTGCTGCCCTTATGATCTTCATGGCAATCATTTGTAATCCCGTTTGCGTTTCGGGAAGACCAGGGGATGTGGGTCCTCAATCTCGGCTGGCGATGGTGATCGAGGTGTTACGGGGATGTACTGTTGGAACTGCTTGGTGGTGGCGGCGACAGCGCTGCTGCTGACTGTATTGCATGTTGTGGGGAGTGCTGGCAATAGCTGTGGCTGTGGTTGCACTGTGGCCGTGGTTGCACTGCAGCAGTGGCGATGATGGATGAAGGTGGTGGCAGGGCGGCGATGAGGGCTGCAGAGTTGTTCTTTACTCTTCGCTGTCGCTATTCAAGGCCAAAATGAGCTGAAGGTGGAGCACAAACACATGAGTTCGCGGAGCCCGAGCCTAGATCGGATACAGTATGTCGCATGAATTCTTGCATTAAATCAACCCAAGACCATTATAGCTGTAGCTTCCATGTCAGGGACGCACAACTCTCTGGTTTGCCAATCGTCCCAACTGGATAGTCATTTAGGGTGCAGCCAAAGCAAAGACAGGAGCCAAGTGGCCAAAAGGTCTTTATCCTTCAGCACTAGCTCTGTAACCTCCTTCACGTGCAAAGCCGCTGCTTGCGTGGGAGGGTACTTGATGTACCAAAAACATTCCTCAGCCATCGTTGTCTGGCAAATTGGTCTTTTGGGGGTTTTCTATTGGCCCCCAAGAGATCAGGGGGCAAGCGCCCTTCCGGCACAAGAGCTGCTTGATCAAAGTTCAATTGGTTTCGGGTATCTGCAACTCCGTCCAAGGAAAAGCTGAACATCTGAATGTACTTTGATATTCATGATGTTCCTATCATTCATAACGTACTTTGTGAGATGAACCATGTCAGAATCCCAGCGACATACGCGGTGCATCCCAGCGACCGATAGCACACTTTTCAAGACTGCTTCGAAAGGCATTGGCCCGTCATCCTGGCGAAAGGTTAGCTCAAAGGACAGGACTCCACTGCTATCCGATATCCCCAGTCGAACAGCACCAAGACCGGTTTGTCGCCCAAGACCTCCGAAGACCGATGAGAAGCATCGAAGAAGACCGGTGAATCCTGCGACCCGAAGCCTCCTTAGGCCTCCTTCATCCCTCTGACCGTCCTGTCCTTGAGGAAATCCTGAAGCTCCATCTTGACGCATTGGTGCACGTCAAGGACTGTCTCCTCAGGAAGAAAAGAGCATCCATTTGCGTTTCGTGGGAATTAATCGGGGCAAAACATATATTTTTTTTTTTTCCCGCTTGGTGTGGATTCACATTTGTGAATGGTGCAGAAACAGAATGAACCAGCTTACTGAGGATCTCAAACCCTGCTGTTGAAGCAAAACAGCAGGCCAGGACGGCCCCATATTACACCAGCTACATGTTCAATCTTCATCTAGTGCCCGGGCTGTGAATTTGTCTCACATTTTCCTACCTGTTTGCTGCCCATCCGGCATGGAAATCGGCAGCAACACGACTTCTATCAGGGAACTTGCCGTTTTTCCCCTGTAGAACCCTCTGTGAATCATGGGTCAACACTGGCTGGATTTTCTCAAGATGAAGAGCCGTCCTTCCCAATCAACTGTCTTTTGACCAGGAACTGGCTTTCATGCGTCCCTTCTTACACTGGCTGGACAGAAAACGGGCACATCTTGTGAGGATCGTTGCGAAGTCAGTGAAGCCTGATGGTTCAGAGCGCAAGGGCCTAGGAATGTTTGGCGATGAGCACTTTAGGGCAGGGAGTCCAATGATCTCCAATGATTTTGACTCCTGCACCCTCCTGCAACGCCCCCATTGGCTGGAAAGGAGTTCACTCCTTGGTCAAGCGCTCCAAGAAGACTTGCTTCCAGCCCCTCTGAAAGCTGAGGCCGACGCGCAACGCTGAAGACCTGAGGGATGAAACATGATGAAACTCTGAAACTCAACAGAAGATGAACATGAACCCTGGAGGACGGCAATTCACTTGCGCAAGCAACATTAGCTCACCTGAACACGCAGTATGTGTTTTTCTAAAGTAACTCACCTGCACACTAAATAGCAGCGAATTAGCCGGACACGCCCGCGCGGCACACCGATCTAAGCACAGCTGCTTTTCGGTCAACCTTTTTTTTACCCTGATTCTTTTTTCCAACCCTGACCTTTTGTTTTAACCCTGGAACCGTCTTTTCTAACCCTAGAAGCCTTTTTTAACCCTGGAACCTTCTTTTCTAACCCTAGACTATTCTATTTTAACCGCGGGTTAAAATAGAGTAGTTTCTTCAAGCTTCTTGGGACGACAGGTGAAACGACTTCTAAGGAAGGTAGTTACTATACTATTCTTCCAAGATATACTCAGAAAACTTCTTGTTGCAACAGGCGAAACGATGCGCAAGGAAGCTTCTAGTTGCTAGTAGTAAGCTTGTAAGAAATACACAGAACTTTTTGTTGAAACGACTCCTAAGGAAGCTAATGCACAATACCGGAGTCAGTGCGCACATGCTGCTGATTCAGCCCAAAAACATCGCAAACATGTTACACAATAAAAGGCGCTCTCTTGGGCATCTTACAAGTGGGTGTCAGTCTTGGTGTGGTCTCATGACAGCAAGCTTTTCGAGCCCTTCGCACGAACCATAATATCAGAGAAAGGGCGGTCCTCTCAACCCGCAAGCTTCTTACTGAAACTGGGAAACCCCGTCACAAGCATCACAGAAAACTCACGGTTGATAAGAACTTATGATGCTGGCTGATTTGAGTCATCCGGGTTCCGGTGTGAAAAAAGGACGCCTTAGTGAATTGGCATGCTTTCCGACAAAAACTGCTTGATTGAGAAACGTTCTCTTTCAAAGTAGATTTTTCAAACGAGTTCTTTAGGGTTCTGCTTGAAACCAAACTCACGGCTTTGCAGTGGCCTTGCAGAAAGCCACCTCCAGACTCGTTTCAAGGAGCACCCGTCCCCGGAAAAACGAACATAAACAAATTTGGAATTGGGACACTACTCCTGGTGAAGGGGTTTAATGCGTTTATTGTAACAAATGGAGCGCTCCAACTCGCGCGGCTTCGCAGATTCGGTGCCACTCACCCGGATCTGCGGTCCTTTTTGGATTCCGGACGAGTGGGACATCACTCATCTGTGGTCCCATGAAAAAGGGATATCCATCCACGGCGTTCAGATTCCCTGATCCGAATGAGTTCCCCGGACTCTCTTTAAAAAAACACGCTAGAATAAATCTCTTCAATCACAAGAAGGAGCTTGCATCCCAAACGACCCATGAGGACGTAGCCACTCATTCCCGTCACTCAGAGCTTTGAAGGGTCCATCGGACACGTACGGGACATGGACGCCCGAGGATCGCAGAGCATCCACCAAACAAACATTCTGTCGCCGCACTGGCTCTGCAGCGCAACGCTTCCATGGAAGCTCTCTGCATCTCCTGCCACAGGAAACAAGTGCATTCCGGACACTGTCCAAGACTCAAGAAACAAACACACACGGCTACGCATAAATGCAACGGCATGGGGAAGATGCACAGTCAGGCACTGGCCCCGGTCCTCCCACGACGCTCAACCGCGGCGCCTGTCTGCGGCAAACCACGCAGTCCTGCTATCCGTCTTTTTGCAATCGCTTTGCTGGTACTCTTTGGTTGCTGCTGTCTAGTCTTGCGTGTGTCTCATTTCCCTCCAGCACTCTGGTCCGACGCGCCTGCGTCTGCTTTCACCATGGCATCGTGCTCCCGGATTGCCGCATCAAAATACTCGGTGTCTGCTCTTCGCCGATATCGCTCAGTAGAGGTGTAGGTCCGTGCGTGAAGCCAAACACGCACCCGTCTCGGAACCGCTTGCGCTGTCGCTTGCTGCGGCCTCCCCTGCATAGGAGCAAACAAATGTCAAACGCAAACTACACTCCTGCTTGCCTCAAAGGTGATGTGTGCGTGCGTACGTGTGGGTCACAGACGCATCTAAGCTTAGTCTCCCTGCTTTGATCTCCGGCAGACCTCATCGAGACAGGTACCAACTAGCAGTCACAGGAGAACAGAAGCGGCATCAACAACAACCAAAGCAAAACAAAGCCGCACCAGCAAAGCAGCAAGCCAGCAACAGGAGCAGCGGCGGATCGCCTTCAGGCAGCTACAAACCAGCAGCCACAGGAGAACAGCAGCAGCATGAACAACAACACACGCAAAACAGCAGCAAACCAGCGGCCGCAGCAGTATCCAACCAGCGACATTCGCCGCAGCAGCAGCAGCAGCAACTCAAGCACCAGCAAAACAGTAGGAAAGCAACAACCAGGCAGCAGCATAGCAGCAGCAAAGCACCAGCGGCAACAGCAGCAGCAGAAGCAGCAGCAGCAACAGCAGCAGCAAAGCGCCAGCAGCAACAGCAGCAGCAACAGCAACACCACAGCAGCGGAAATTAACATAGGAAAAGAAAAGGTTTGGTACAAATTGAGTCCCACCAAGCTACAGGGTGGGTTTGAACCGAGGTGCTTCACAAAACCATCGTAGGCACCCTAAGTCTGCTGATTACCTAAATTTACACTGGACAAAATTTAGGTAATTTTTTGATTTACTAAGGCAAATTTACCTAAAAATTTACATAAATTGTAAAGTAAAATGTAAATTAATTTAAGTCATTTAGTAAATTTATTTAGGTCATTTAGTAAATTTTTTGACTATGATTTCATGTCTTCTTTTGCAGTGGTTTTTGTAACAAAAGTTTTGGTTTCCTAAAGAAAAATCAGTGATCATTGTAGGCTCAATCAAAAAAGAGCACCACCATACTTGAGACCACACTTGTTTTACGTGAGATTCACCACTGCCTTTACTTGAGCCAACCCTCTCTTACTTGAGAACATCAGCACCTTTACTTGGAAGTTGGCGTTGCGCAAGTAACTTTTTGAACTTGGCGTCCTTGCTCTTGTCCTTCTTGTTGACTTCACATTCCTCACCCTGATCGGTCATGCTCCAGCTCTTCTTCCACAGGTTGCTCCTCCTCCTTGTCCAGTGCCTTTGCCCAACAGCCTCCCCCTTGGAACTAGAGCCCTGTCCTTTCTTTGGTTCTGCTTTTGCAGCAGCAGCTGGTCGCTTCAAGGTTGGTTTGTCACCATCCTTTACCTTCTTGTTCTTACCCATGTTTGAAGCCGCTTTGGCCTTTGCCTTTAGGCTTTCCTTTAGCATTTCCTTGTGCTTTTGGCTTTGCTGCGGCTGGCCTTTTCAAGGCCTTCGATGGTGTCTTAGGCAGATCTCCCTCCTGAGAAGCAGCCAAGAGATCTTCAGTCTCACCAATCTCTTCATGCGCATTGGCTCATGAGGCCAAAAACACTATGAGTCCACACACTTGTGAACCACAAAGCAGCTGTCATGAAGCAAAGCTTCCTAAACCTATACCTGAGTCTCTTCAAGTGGCATCACATGTACAATCACAAGGCACAAGTACCAAGACATGGACAAACTCAAGCGCATCACTTGTCACAGGTAAAGAGCTCAAGTACAAGTCCTCGAGTACAAGAACAAGTCACAAGTAAGACTGAAGTTAACCTTATCTCAAGTACAGCTCCTCAAGTACAAGTTAACCTATCACACAAGTACAATGTGAGAAACCCTTCCAAACCTAGACTGGTCCCCAAGAGTTGATCCACATGTTGTTGTTCTTGATTTTTATGGAAATTTTCATGAACTTTTGATGATCTTGATGAAATTTTGATGAATTTTGATGAAATTTTGATGAACTTTTGGTGAATTGTTGAAGAACTTTTGATGAACTTTTGATGAATTTTCGAAGAACTTTTGATGAACTTTTGATGCACTTTAAAAAGTTCATCACAAGTTCATCACTCACCTTTTAAAAGTTCATCAAAAGCTCATCAGTTTGATGAACTTTTAAAGTTCATCAAAAGTTCATCAAAAATTCGGCAAAAATTCATCAAAATTTCAACATCCATCAAGAGTTCATCAAAAATTCATCAAAAGTTCATCAAAATTCATCAAAGATTCACTAAAAACAAAGAGTCCTCAAGTACAAGAACAAGTCAAAGGTTTACAAGTAAGACTGAAGTAGGCTCAGGTACAACTCCTCAAGTACAAGTTAACCACATACACATGTACAATTTGAGGCCCTCACCACCCAAGACTGTTATCCAGTTGAGAGCTCTGTTCAAAGCTGACAGTGGGAAGAGCCCCCAAAACCTATCTATCACCCCTGAACACCTCTCACACCACCTACAGCTCAAGCGCAACTTTTCATACTCACAGAGATGGGTCAGCTTTCCTGTAGATTTGCTGAGGAGCTTCATCTTCTTCGCAAACCTGACAGGAACAACAGTGATTACATACATGGACATCTCAACTGCAGCTCATGACTCAAGACACAATGCTTTCATCAAATCAAGTCTTCCTCAAGTACAACTCCAAACAAAGTCCTACACAGAGTGGGTCTATTTTTAACTGCAAATCTCACATACAGCTCCACCTGAGATCTACACCTCAAGTACAATCATGAATGTACAAATGAATCATGAATGTACAAATGTTGACCCATCCTCCCTCTTCATCCTGGGCGACATCGATGATTCTGAGGAGGGGGGTTGGGTCCTCTTGTGCCGCCTTTTCTTTTCTTTCTTAACATCTTTGGATGACCCCTTGCCCTCATCTCCCTGGCCCTCCTCTGGTTCTGTAAGCTCTGCCTCTACATTCTTTGCCCTCTTCTCTGCTTCTGTCTGGTCCTCCTCATTGTGCTCTTCTTTCTCCTCCTCTTCTGTCTGGTTCTCCATCTCCCCCTGCTCTTCTGCATCCTTCTCTGGTTCTGACTTCTCCTCCTCCTGGTCCCTCACCTTCTCTGGTGTCTCTGGCTCTACAAGAAAGGTCATACATGAGAACCTTGGCCAAAGTACTAGTATGCTCCACAGTCCTACTTG